TTCTTCTACTTTCTTTTCTTTTCTCTACACCCTAAGAAAATGATTATATGAAAGTCCATTTGGGGAAAAAATCACAAAGCTTCCAAAATACAGACAAGTGGTGTGGATGGTGTGACGTCAGCAGATTCGGCATCGACGGCTCGAATGATGAGAAGAGAGACACAAAGGACCTACGTCAATCACCTTTAATTCCATTGTTGGCAATATGGTCAAATATTAAACATTTAATCAAACTTATAATCATAATAATAACACTCTTTTTGATTTAAAATATTTTGGTAGCACTAAATATTCTCCCACCATTACTCCTCCATTCACTCTTAAAACTCCTCGAGTGCTGCTTAATGGTACCAACGATCCATCTCTATGTTTCAACGCATCCATTTTATTGCCGTATACCATAAGTAAAATTTGCTCTTATATTCACATTTCTATTGATCTTTTTGTGATTTTAAATGTATTTATGTGTGGATGGATAATACATGATAAAATCATTCGACTGGTCATGTAACGAATGACTTGAATCACAATTTCTTAAATAATTTCACATATATACCTCTGTTTTTAAAAAAACAAGAACATATTTTGCATCATTATTTGACCATTGTCTCATCGACCAATCGCAACAAAATTGGTTTTGCGTGTAACCAAGAAATACGACTTTTAAACATAATAATTGGCGAAAACTGTTTCATTATATTCGTGCCATATCGATGTTGTTTTATGTAGAAGATACTAATTATCATACATAATTTACAAGATTTTGTATATTTTTTAGTTTAGCACCTTCCGTCTAATACCATACTTTTTGTTTTATCTCAATAATACTGCCAAAGTTAAGAGTTCGCAAATTTCATCTCATGAGTTTAATTAGCCCTTAAAATGAGTCTTCTTATATGCCAATACAAGCTGATTTGTAAAAAAAAACGTGATAATGCAAAAAACTCTACAATAAAATGGTAGTCCAAAGCCATGCGTTTCATGTTCTAGCTAATGAGAAATCGGATTGGCATATAAATACTTGCAAACTCCTATATATATAAAGGATACGGTTAACGGTTCATAACTGCCAACTCCACATATTTATCAAGTCTCTAACCAGCTCATATCATAACGTTCAGAACTAAAACATAATTGATATCATTGCGTATATATACTTATAATTTATAAAATATGGGCGCCCTATGGTTTGACATGGTTTATTGAAGATCATTGTTCCGAAGACTTGTCTCTAAATGTTCTCCAAACTGAAGACATATGAATGAGGGTTCTATGATTTTAATGTTGAAATCCGAAACCATAATGAGTTTCTTTACCAATTTAATAATGTTTCAGTCTCAACTCTCAAAAGTATTTTATTATAATCAAAGTGGGTCGATTTGAAGCTTCATTAAAACAAAATATTAGTTGATTTAGCCAATGAGATTAACGCACAAAATGAATCGAAGTTAGTGGAGATTTTATACAAGTATCGATTATTATTACTTGTCAACAAAAAAGGAACCTCTTATTAGTTTTTAAATTGATTACAACATAATTATCCACAAGACACATACATACAACATAAAATGTTCGTATCTATCATTATAATTAGGATCAACTTGTGAAGTGTCGGTGATCACTTCTCGGTTCTTGTTGTCTGCTTCATTCTTCTATCTTGATGTACACGTATTTCTTATAACCAACTATATGAGTGAATCTATTAACAATAATTTTGTTAGTTTCATGAGCAACAACTAAAAATATATCAATTGATTAACGGTACATGTGTCGTGTGACGCAATAATATTCACTTCCAAGTTCTAATCACACTAATTTAAATTTATATTAAACAACATAAAGCAATGGCTTAGTATTATGTCTGCCATTTTCGAACTTTTCTTTCATGTCCAAATTTGCTCATGTCTTCCACAAAATCACTCAACTTTTTCTACCACACCATAGTTCCTAAACATGCACACAGCCACGTATCCATTTAATTCACTCAATATATATTTGAACTTTTTGCTGGTCAAAAACTCTATATATAACATATGCTTTGCGTGTACCAAAGAAAATTATATACCATAGTTTGCATATTACAAAAAAAAAAATGTTGAGCAATATGTCTCTCCCTATCCCGCCGAAATTTCTACCACCGCTAAAATCTCCACCGATTCATCATCACCAAGCTCCGCCACCGCTTGCACCGCCACGAGCCGCAATATCAATATCTATACCAGAAACCGGTTTAGGACGTACGGGAACCATCATCGACGAGTCCACGTCATCAGCTTTCCGTGACTACCAATCTTTATTCGTATCACAACGCTCCGAGACAGTCGAACCGGTCGTAATTAAACCAATCGATGGCTCAATACCGGTTGATTTCCCTTCCGGTACGTATTACTTAGCCGGTCCAGGACTATTCACTGACGACCATGGCTCAACGGTCCATCCTTTAGACGGTCACGGTTATCTCCGTGCGTTTCACATCGACGGTAATAAACGAAAAGCCACTTTCACGGCGAAGTATGTTAAAACAGAAGCTAAAGAAGAAGAGCACGATCCTGTAACTGACACGTGGCGGTTCACTCATAGAGGTCCTTTCTCTGTGTTAAAAGGCGGGAAAAGATTTGGAAACACGAAAGTGATGAAAAACGTGGCCAATACTAGCGTTTTGAAATGGGCTGGGCGGTTGCTTTGTTTATGGGAAGGTGGTGAACCGTACGAGATTGAATCGGGATCGTTGGATACCGTCGGGAGATTTAACGTCGAGATCAACGGTTGTGATGATGATGATGATGGTGATTCTTCCGACAGAGATTTATCTGGTCATGATATATGGGACACAGCCGCAGATTTGTTGAAACCCATACTTCAAGGTAATATTTATAAGAAAAAAAAAAGGTAATATTTATGTTTAAAGTACTAAAGTTTAATTAAATTTAAAGTATGTAGTCCATTTTTCAGACAGCGGCGTAAGAATAATTAGTGTATAATCAATTTTTCTTTTATTTATGTAGGAGTATTTAAGATGCCACCGAAACGGTTCTTGTCACATTACAAAGTCGACGGTCGAAGAAATAGACTTTTAACGGTCACTTGCAACGCTGAAGATATGCTTTTACCTCGAAGCAACTTCTCATTTTGTGGTAAATAATCTTTTGATTTATTAAACTCATAAGGAAAAACAATCTTTTATTATTATTGTAATTGTAATGGCAAATAACTATTTACAGAGTATGATTCGGAATTCAAGTTGATACAAACGAGAGAATTCAAGATCGATGATCACATGATGATTCATGATTGGGCATTCACGGACACTCACTACATACTATTTGCCAACCGAGTCAAGCTTGATCCACTTGGTAATAAGTTCTGTTTCAAGTCATTTACACGAAGAATAATACTTGCGTTACAAAAAATCTGATGATGTAATATATATACACTCAGGTTCCATAGCGGCTATGTGCGGCATGTCACCGATGGTATCAGCGTTATCGTTGAACCCTAGCAACGAGAGTTCCCCGATTTATATTCTCCCTAGGTTTTCTGAGAAATCTATGGGGGATCGAGACTGGAGAGTTCCTGTCGAAGTGTCTTCTCAATTGTGGCTAATACACTCCGGAAACGCTTATGAGACTAGAGAGGATAACGGCGATTTAAAGATTCAGATACAAGCGTCTGCTTGTTCCTACCAGTGGTTCGATTTCCAGAAAATGTTTGGTAAGTTAAAAAGTCACCAAATACAAACCTCCCATGACATTTACTATTCAGGATTTTTATAAGACTATTTCGAAATAACCTGTTTCACAAGTTAGGGTTTTTAGGTGTGCAAAAGACAGTTACTGAACATTTTTTAAAATATTTTTTTACAGGCTATGATTGGCAAAGGAACAATCTGGATCCTTCTGTTATGAATCTGAATCGCGGGGATGACAAACTACTCCCTCATCTAGTTAAGGTGTCTATGACATTGGACTCTTTTGGCGATTGCAAGAGTTGTGATGTAGAGCCTCTAAACGGCTGGAACAAGCCATCAGATTTTCCGGTTATAAACTCATCCTGGTCCGGAAAAAAGAACAAGTACATGTACTCTGCAGCCTCTTCGGGAACTCGAGGTGAACTTCCCCATTTCCCATTCGACATGGTCGTGAAGTTTGACTTAGACTCAAACCTCGTCCGTACTTGGTCTACCGGGGCTAGAAGATTCGTTGGTGAGCCCATGTTTGTCCCAAGAAAATCCGATGAAGAAGGAGAAGAAGAGGACGATGGTTACATTCTCGTGGTTGAGGTACGTATATAACAACACTTTCGTGTTTTTTTTTCTCTCTCTAAGAAATGCATTTGTACGTATATTTGATACAAATTTGTCATCTGCTATATTGCTAGTATGCGGTTTCGGTGGAGAGATGTTACCTTGTGATTTTGGATGCCAAGAAGATCGGTGAATCCGATGCGGTCGTGTCGAGATTAGAGGTTCCGAGGAATCTTACGTTTCCGATGGGTTTTCACGGTTTATGGGCTAGCGACTGAATTCTGTTGATAATGATTTCATTTGGATATTACTTGTACATAATGTAGTTTTATGGGCTAGCAATTTTATGATATTTTTTTTTGGTTAGGAATTTTGTAAGAAAAAAAGGTGTTGAACAGAAGCCATAGTTATTGTACTATTGTATAAACAAAGTGTATAGTGTAATTATCAAACTGGAAGTCTATATTGTAATTAAACAAATTGTATAGCAAATCCAAAAACCAATTACATTATGTGTATATATTCTTTTTGTTTTAATAAAAGTTTGCTTTTTTGACAAAAAGATGTGTACATTTTACACAAAAAATTATTCTAAAACATTTTTACCGATAAAGGGCACTATGTGCTTACGTGTACCTTTTTCGCTGTCTAGTACACGTCATCACCATATTTTTGGGCTGGGCCGAGAACAAGTTTTTTTTTTTTCTTTCTTTCTGTTTGTTCCCTGTCATTTGACCATAAGCCGGTTGCGTTTGACTCTACGGTCCGACTAACCACAAAGCCTCTCCGTACAAAAGAGGGTTTCTGCAAAACCTCTTATTTCTCAAAACGCCGGCGACGAAGAACGAACCAGTGAGCGAGAGAAGAGAGAAGAGAGAAGAGAGAAGAGAGAAGAGAGAAGAGAGAAGATAACCGCAATGTCGGGGTTTCCATTTGGTCAATCCAATTCCGTTGGAAGTTTCTCATTCGGATCTTCTTCTGCAACTAATTCCTCTTCTGCTTCATCTACCACTTCTCCGTTATCTTTCTCCTTTAACCAATCTTCAAACCCTAGCTCCACCGGATTCGGTTTCGGATCCACCGTCTCATCAACTCCTGCTTCCTCCACTACTCCATCTTTTGGATTCGGAGCTTCCTCATCTCCTTCGTTCGGATTCGGTTCCTCTGCTTCATCGACTCCATCGTTCGGATTCGGATCCTCTGCCTCCACGACTCCTGCTTCCACAACTCCATCGTTTGGATTTGGCACCGCCGCTTCTTCTTCTGCTTCTGCTCCGTCACTGTTTGGTTCATCTACCACCAATGCTTCTTCGGCTGCTCCTGGTTCTTCTCCTTTTGGATTCGTAACTTCTTCGGCCTCTTCAGCGACTGTTTCAGCTTCATCTCCGTTTGGAGTTCCCGCTTCTTCCTCCGCAACTCCATCTTCATCTATTTTCGGAGCGGCTCCAGCGAGTGGTTCATCATCTCTCTTTGGATCTTCCTCATCCTTATTCTCCGCTCCTTCATCTGCCTCCGCCTCGAATTCTTCTATCTTCGGAGCATCCTCATCCGCCGCTACTTCAACATCCCCTCTTTTCGGTGCGCCAGCATCAGCCACCGGCTCGACACCGTCCTTTGGCGTGGCCTCAGCACCTGGCTCGTCATCATCCATCTTTGGAGCCACCGGCTCGTTACCTTCCTTCAGTGTTGCCTCATCAGCCTCTGGCTCCTCACCGCCAATCTTTGGAGCCACCGGTTCGTCACCGTCAATCTTCGGTTCGTCTTCGTCAGCCGGTTCAACTCCATCTCTCTTTGCATCGTCCTCGTCAGGCGCAACAGCTTCTTCACCTTCCCCGTTTGGAGTATCCACCATCAATTCCTCAACTACAACCAATCCCTCGAATGCCTCAGCTTCTCCTTTCTCCGCTTCTACCGGATTCTCTTTCTTGAAAAGCACAGCAAGTTCGACCACCAGCACCACCACTGCTTCTGCTCCTCCACAAACGGCTTCATCTTCTTCCTTCTCATTTGGTACATCCGCCAATTCAGGTTTTAACCTTTCAACCGGAAGCTCCGCAGCACCTGCCTCCAGCACATCCGGAGCAGTGTTTTCTATTGCAACCACCACTACCACTTCTTCTTCGACTCCGGCTGCCACTAGTGCACCAGCTTCTTCAGCTGCAGCTTCTACAATGGCTTTCCCTTCTTTTGGTGTGAGTTCATCCGCAACCAACACCACTCCGGCTAGCTCCGCTGCTACATTCAGTACTACAGGATTTGGTTTGGCTAGCTCGACACCTGCCACTGGATCTACGAAATCTTTTACTGGGTTTGCTGTACCGCAGACATCAACACCTGCATCATCTTCACAACCACAAACTACTACTCCTGCTTTCTCATTCAGTAAGTTGTTTATGTTTTGTTTGTGATTTTGCTTATCCCATTTGCTGGCGATGATTAGGAATAAGAATTTGGAGAATTATGGGAATCATTGATTAGGATTAGAGATGTGCTCAATGTACTTGATCTACCTTAGTATACTCATTATTATGCTTTGGTTTGCCTGCTGCTTATAGTCTATGACATGAACACATATATATACGGATCAGAAGTTATAGTTTTTTTTTTTCTTTCTGAAAGAAGTATTGTTGTTGTTCAGGTCTTCCATCTTCGACTTCTACTACTGCTCCTGCTACTACTTCTGCTACTACAACACAGACATCTCTTGTTGTGCCTTCGAGTAGTGGGTATGCTCTTTTCATATTTTGACCAACACATTATGATCTAAACGGCTGTATATGTTCTACCTTCACCTCGATTATGTTGTAGCTGATGTTAACTTGTTATCTATTAGGACGAGCACAGCTGTTGCTCCAGTGGCTGGTTCTCCAAAGTTGCCATCTGAAATAACTGGCAAAACTGTTGAGGAGGTAGATCTTTGCCCTCCTCTACATTTATCCTTTTTGCGATGTTATATAAATATATATTATTCAAGTGCTGTTAATGTTTGTAGATTATCAAGGAGTGGAATACTGAGCTACAAGAGCGCACAGGGAGATTCCGGAAACAGGCAAATGCAATAGCAGAGTGGGATAAGCGGATCTTGCAGAACCGTGATGTTCTTTTGAGGCTTGAGGTGAAATTACTTTGTCCTATTATGGAGTCTCTGTTAAAATCTCTTTCCGTTTTATATCTTCAAATACATTGTTCTGAGCAGACCTCTGAGTTTCTATGTTTAGCTCATATAGGCATGTACTGTATAATTAGCTCATTCTTTTTGTGTACTTCACCAACAAACAGATTGAAGTTGCAAAAGTGGTTGAAACCCAATCTAGCTTGGAACGACAGCTGGAATTAATCGAGACTCATCAGCAAGAGGTATGCAATTGAACTATTATATCTCTATTTTAAGGTGTAAATGAGGTTTCTGATTGTAACTTGCAGCGGGAAATTATTTGTCCTTATTTGTGGGAAATAAAATTTCTCTTGTTCATCATCTCTGATCTCTCTCAGTCCAACACTCTCACACTTTTTTAATCTGAATTTATCTGACATGGACTCATGGAGATTGTCTACTTTCTACCTTGCTTAATTCGAAATTGGGCAAGTCAATACCAAAGCCACTGTGCCAATCATCTGAATTCTCTGTTTTTGTTTAAGGTTGACAAGGCTTTGCAAAGCATGGAGGAAGAGGCTGAGCGTATATATAATGACGAGCGGAAATCACTTCTTGACGATGAAGCAGCATCAACTAGAGATGCAATGTGAGAACTCTTTTAAGTCTTTCCACTGTCATCACCAATTTACATCATATCAATTAGCTCTATCATGCGCATCCTAGCCTGATTCTATGCTTCATAACAATAAACTTTGTTTTTCATCCCAGGTATGAACAGTCTGAGCTAGTAGAAAGAGAATTGGAGCATATGACTGAACAAATCAGATCGATTATACAATCCGTAAATGCAAACCAGGTAACGCGTTAACTTATCATGTACTATTCCTTTTTTCCCTGTGAACATACACCATAAACCTGTTTGTGTGAAAACAGGGTGGGGAACTTGAAGCAATAGATGGGATGAGTCCACTGGACGTTGTTGTCAGAATCTTGAACAATCAACTTAGTTCCTTAATGTGGATTGATGAGAAAGTAAGTTTTCTAAATTGTCTTCAACGCATTTTGCAATAACTACAATTGTGTTAACTTAAAAACATTTTGAACATTAAACAGGCAGAGGAATTCTCTTCTCGGATTCAAAAAATTGCATCGCAAGGTTCTAGTGGAGATCGTGAATTGATGGCTCCAAAGCACTGGATGTCTTGATAGGGATTACAAAAACACATCATCAGCTCAGGAAACGAATTATCTTCTTGTAGTTGCGTGTTATTTCTAGATGTATGATTTTACAATTGCACATGATGAATTTTTTACCATAAAGATTTGTATCATTTGAATATTATTGATTGACTGGGTTGTTTGTTGTTATCCCAATTTTAATTACTTTCACCATATAAATGTACACCGCCTCAAGAGGGTGAAACGACGACGTGGCGTCTATTACTCGGATTTCTTTCCTTAATCATCATCAAAGACTTTCTCTTCTCACATGGATATAGACGAGTCACGACGACTCACGCGTATCGAAACAAAACGTTGTTGTTAGAGAGAAAATTCCAGTTCTTGGATTCCGGCGACCTCATTGGTGAAAGATCTTCAGAGACTATATTATTATACCTTTCTCTTGACCGGTTTCTATGGCGGATGGAAACGCCGCTTCGCGTTACGTGAAATTGAGGAAAGAGCAGGCTCCTGTCGAAGAAGATATCACACCCGGTGAACTCAATCAGCCCATTGATGTTCCTCAGGTTTGTTAGATTCTCTATCTCCCTGCATTACTCTTAACGCACTTTTCTAGAGAACTCCGATCTCGTAATTCCTTCAGATCTGTATCTTAATCGATTTGATGGTTTTGATCATCTGTGGTGGTAGTGTTCTTGTTGATTCCGATTGTTGTTTGTGTCGATCTACACCTCTCGATGAGGTCTAAGAGATGGAATCGTCGTCCTGTTTGATTGAGAATTAGTGTAACTAGTCTCTCTTGATTTGATTTCTTTGATCAATCTTGGATTTCTCCTGATTTGTCGTGCGTTAGATCCTTGTGATGTGATATAGAGTCTAGTAGTGTATCTGTTGTGACATGAACATATAGCGATTTCTTATTGGCACTACCTGTTTTGAAGTTTTTTTGTATCAACACTGATTAGTCTAGTACGTTCCTTTGAAGCTTCCATATGAGAATGTGTGATGGAATCAAGAAACTCGAGATTATCTTTCTCTGAAGTTCTTTTTCTTTTTAATATGGTAGTCATTGTAGTGTGGCGGTCATGTATTATAATCACTCTACTGCTTTTTCTGTTTTTGAATTTGTTTACAGTTGAATGTCCGCAAGTGCCATGAATGTATGCAAGTTCTACCTGAAACCTATGAACCTCCTTCTGATGAAAACTGGACCACCGGCATTTTTGGTTGTGCTGAAGATCCAGAGAGCTGTAAGTTTTTTGCTCTTTGTTTTGTAACTGTCCAAAGATATGATTCTTAATCACTTGTTCTTGTGCATGAGTTCTCTATTACTTTTGGCGAAATTTCTCCATTGTAGTTTAATATGCGTCGAAGTTTCATTCTTAATGGAAGATAATTGATCTTCCATTGCTAAGAGGACACTTTGATCCAATGCTATTGTATGATTTTGCAGGCAGGACTGGTCTCTTTTGCCCGTGTGTACTGTTTGGGCGTAACATTGAAGCTGTGAGGGAAGAGATTCCTTGGACCCAACCATGTGTATGCCATGCAATATGTGTCGAAGGAGGTATGGCACTTGCAGCAGTCACTGCACTCTTCAGTGGCTACATTGATCCTCAAACAACGGTTGTCATCTGCGAAGGCCTCTTCTTTGCTTGGTGGATGTGTGGAATCTATTCAGGCCTGTTCCGCCAAGAACTCCAGAAGAAATATCATCTCAAGGTAAGTAAAAATCCCACATCAGTTCGTCCTCATATTTCAGATATTATCTCTGATTGATCTTTGCGGTTATCTTGCAGAATGCGCCTTGTGATCATTGCATGGTTCACTGTTGCTTGCACTGGTGTGCTTTGTGCCAGGAACACAGGGAGATGAAGAATCATCTTTCTGATACAGAAGCCTCATCATCAACTACTATGGATCCTCCCCCAGTTCAAGAGATGAACACAGAGGAGAAAAGAGACGCTTCATCTTCTTCGTCTTCATCCCCATCATCTGCCAAAAGCCAACACAATGATCTCGAGATGGTCCCTCTATAGGAAGCATTCCTTATTAATCTCTGCTACTTATGCTCTATAAGCTGTTTTTTCTGTGCAGAGAGGTTTTCGTACCAGATGATTCTGTTGCTCTTAGGTTTTAAATATGCAAAAGTATGTTTTAAGAACAAGTTCATTAGTACTAAGTTTTACAGAATTTAAATTCATGACTTCATTGAACCTTTGGGAAAAGGAAGAAACATCTGTCTCTGAGCTATATTGTGATTAAACTCTATAATCTATATGACTGATAAAGTTATTTCGTATTTGTAGTTTTAGTTTATCATACCGTTGGTTAATTTGTTAATCTAGTTATAAAAATGTTAAAGAAATTCCAGAAGCACCCGTGCGTGGCCTAATGGATGAAGTTGTTGCCTTATTAGAAGCTAACTCAGGCGCCTTAATTACAAAAATATTATTTATGTGGTGATTCAGCTTTTTTGTATCGATACTTAGAGCTAGTTAAAATCCCAAGTCGCCCACACTCTGGAGTATTGGAGATCCAAAGCTATCTGGATGACATCACTTCATTAGCTAAAGATACTTATGCTTTTAAATTTATTCCGCAGAATGATAATCGTTTAGCTGATGCTCAGGCTAAAAAAGTTAGAAATAGTGTTTCTCCATATGTCATCTCTTGGACTTGCCGAATGTATGATCAAAACGCTTTGTACGATGAGATTTGACCCTACCCGAGCCGACCCGGACATATAACGGATCAAATAATCCATCGGGTCCAGATGTTAAACCGAACCATAAAATATCAAACCGAATCTGAACCGAATTTGATGATACAAAGTTACACACACACTCTCAAGTCTTTCAAAGACTCAAAACCCATTTTCCTAAAACCCTCGTCCCTACAAAGCCATGGCGAGGTTTCCGAATTCTCCGGCGCCTAACCTCCTCTTGAGGCTCTTCTCGTCAAACAAACGGTCTTCATCTCCTACTGCCGCGCTTTTAACCGGAGATTTTCAGCTGATTCGTCATTTCTCCGCCGGAACCGCTGCTCGTGCGGCCAAGGATGACAAGGAACCCTGGTGGAAAGAATCCATGGACAAGCTTCGCAACATCGGGATCTCAGCTCATATAGACTCTGGGAAGACTACGTTGACTGAGCGTGTTCTGTTCTATACGGGTCGGATCCATGAGATCCACGAAGTCAGAGGTAGAGATGGCGTCGGCGCTAAAATGGACTCCATGGACTTGGAGCGAGAGAAAGGTATCACCATCCAATCAGCCGCTACTTACTGTACTTGGAAGGATTACAAGGTGAGAGGAGATTGAGATCTTTCTTATGATTCTGTGATTGTTGATTTCTTCTCAGATTCGTGTTGTTTTTGGAGATTAAAATTGAGCCTGTTTAGTCAAAATTGGTTTCGTATGTTTAATTGTCTAGTAATACTATTCAATTGAGCTTTGAAATTTGTTGTTATGATTCTTGTCAGGTTAATATAATTGATACTCCTGGTCACGTTGACTTCACCATTGAAGTGGAGAGGGCTTTACGTGTACTAGACGGTGCGATTCTAGTTCTGTGCAGTGTTGGTGGTGTACAGAGTCAGTCTATTACAGTAGATAGGCAAATGAGGAGATATGAAGTCCCGAGAGTTGCGTTTATTAACAAGCTTGATAGGATGGGAGCAGATCCATGGAAAGTTTTGAACCAAGTGTGTAAACCTATTATCCTTCTATTACTTGACTTATTGAATGAGTTTGAAAAAGATATCTTTACTGGTTATAACTTCTTCTTTTTTTTTACTTCACTAGGCAAGAGCTAAGCTTCGACATCATAGTGCAGCTGTGCAAGTGCCCATTGGTTTAGAAGAAAATTTCCAGGGTCTTGTAGACCTTATTCATGTGAAAGCTTATTTCTTTCATGGATCTAGCGGGTTTGTGTTACAATGCATTTTTTAGAATTTGCTTTGGTTGTAGTGGGGGATATGTATGTGTTGTGACATTTTGATTTTCTATAAATTGTAGCGAGAATGTTGTGGCTGGTGATATTCCTGCTGATATGGAAGGTTTGGTTGCGGAGAAGAGGCGAGAATTGATAGAGACAGTCTCTGAAGTTGATGATGTACTCGCCGAGAAATTTCTGAATGATGAACCTGTATCTGCTGCTGAGCTTGAGGTTTGTTCTTTTTCATTTGGTTTTGAAAGAATATTCTTTGCATGAAACATAGGAAATGTTTCCTGGAATATAGATAGATATTGTTGGCGACTTATGATGTTGAGTTAGTTGATTTCACTTAACAGATATCAATCCCGAGGGACTGTTGAACATGTGGGTTCTAGCTTGCCTTAGGCATTGTCTTTAATTCATAGTGTTATCTTTCATTTCTAGCGTCCATGAATTGCCACGTTTAGATATTATTACTCTTTTACTTGCATTTTGTTACTATAACTTTTGTGGTCTGCTGTATATATGCGCAGGAAGCTATTCGAAGAGCTACCATAGCACAAAAGTTTGTTCCTGTATTTATGGGTAGTGCATTCAAAAACAAGGTAATTGATTTTTGGAATCCAGAGATGATATTTGCACAAGTTTAGATGACCTACTCACTTATGTTTCTCCTTGTCCTGTTGTGTCTGTGTTAAAAAGTTTTCAACATCTGCCGTGCTCCCTTTTTTTTGTCTGCAGGGAGTACAACCTCTGCTAGATGGTGTTGTCAGTTATCTCCCTTCTCCAAATGAAGTCAATAACTATGCTCTTGACCAAATGAATAATGAAGAGAGGGTACTCAACTTGTAACTTAGTTTTATTGGAGAAAATATACTGGTTCTAAAGAATTGAGTTTCAGGTAACTTTGACTGGATCTCCAGATGGACCTCTTGTGGCGCTGGCTTTCAAATTAGAGGAGGGTCGTTTTGGTCAGCTGACATATTTGAGGTGAATGCTGAATCTCCCTCTTGATTATGTTGTGGTGTTTACTAAATATTAAAATTTCAAAGTACTTTGTGCCCTTCTGTCATGCATGAATTTGTGAATGCTGAATGCTAACCCAAGTTGTTGTTTTTTATGAAGAGTTTATGAAGGTGTGATTAAGAAGGGTGATTTTATCATAAATGTCAATACTGGGAAGAGAATTAAGGTTAGTTCTTGGATCTTAGTATTGCTTTGAGGGTTTTCAACGCCATGAAGTCTTGTGCATAAATTTATACCAAATTACACTGAATATGCATAGTTATCTTGTCCCTGACCTGGCATGAATATATTTTTCATAGATGCAAAATGTCTGAATTCCAGACTACTTAGTCATTTTTTCTTCTTAACCCTTGCAAGTAGTGCCCTGTGGTGTTTGATATTACCTAAAGGCTATTCAATGTTTCTTGGTGTAGGTTCCACGCTTGGTCCGTATGCATTCGAATGATATGGAGGTTAGATGAAGTTTATTTTTCACCTTAAGATTCCATTATGGTAGCTCCGTGGTGGCAACTCTAGTGCCATGTGACTAGATTCTAAATTTTTATTCTATTTTCAGGATATTCAAGAGGCACACGCTGGACAAATCGTAGCTGTGTTTGGTATTGAGTGTGCATCAGGTACAGTAGAGAATTCTTCTGTACTTGTTCAAACTTAACATAATTTGCTTCTCTGGGGTCAATTCCTAACCCTCAATACGTAATCAGGTGATACATTTACGGATGGATCAGTCAAGTACACAATGACATCGATGAACGTTCCTGAACCTGTTATGTCCTTAGCTGTTCAACCGGTTTCAAAAGATTCTGGAGGACAGGTAACTTCTGTGAACTTTGAAGCTAAAACAACAACGTATTTTTCTTTAATTCTGGTTTTAAGAAATTTGCAATTGAAATCTATTTGCCGGTGTTAGTTCTCGAAAGCACTGAATCGATTCCAGAAAGAGGATCCTACTTTCCGGGTGGGATTGGATCCCGAGAGTGGCCAGGTATCATCTAAGAACTCTGTTGCTTCTCAGCACCTCTCTCGAAATTCACTACATAGTATTTAACATTGATGATTCTTCCATTTGTCCTTAATGGGACAGACGATTATTTCTGGTATGGGGGAATTGCATTTGGACATCTATGTTGAACGCATGCGAAGAGAATATAAGGTGCTTGACTTAAAACCTTCACAATATTCTCACTTTATCGCTTCTCGACAGAACACTTCTTTTCTGCTAATTTTTGGAAATATCAAATAGGTTGATGCGACTGTGGGCAAACCCCGTGTCAATTTTAGGGAGACTATTACTCAACGGGCGGAGTTTGATTATTTACATAAGAAGCAAAGTGGAGGAGCTGGTCAATACGGTAGGGTTACAGGGTAAGTATCAAAAATTAATAGACCCTAAATGATGTGTTATGGATCCCTGCTAAACCATTCCTGTCGATATCTGGCAAAATTGATATACTTGTTAGGTACGTGGAACCGCTACCACCAGGCTCTAAAGAGAAGTTTGAATTTGAAAACATGATTGTTGGACAAGCAATTCCGTCTGGTTTTATTCCAGCAATTGAGAAAGGTTTCAAAGAAGCTGCAAACTCGTGAGTGATCTTCGTCTCTCAATATCTCCTTTCCTCCTTGTTTTGGTTGAGGAAATGTTGTAAGTGATAGTGAAACCCCCTATTCCATTGCAGGGGCTCACTAATTGGTCACCCTGTAGAGAATCTCAGAATAGTATTGACAGATGGAGCTTCACACGCGGTAGATTCCAGTGAACTTGCATTTAAAATGGCTGCAATATACGCATTCAGACTGTGTTACACAGCAGCTAGACCGGTGATTCTAGAACCTGTTATGCTTGTTGAGTTGAAAGTACCAACAGAGTTTCAGGGCACTGTTGCTGGTGACATCAACAAGTAAACTCTAAAACTCTAAACCCTTTAACAATACCTTTTCCTATTAGTATAATAACTCAACTTCTTTCATTTTCAGGAGGAAAGGTATAATCGTTGGAAACGATCAAGAGGGTGACGATTCAGTAATCACTGCTAATGTAAGAACCAATATAGAAAGCAAAGTTTCCTCTATCAACAGTAATTAACAACATGTAATTATGTTTGTGTGTTTAACAGGTGCCTTTGAACAACATGTTTGGCTACTCCACTTCTCTCCGGTCCATGACACAAGGCAAAGGAGAATTCACGATGGAATACAAAGAACATTCTGCTGTATCCAATGAAGTCCAAGCTCAGCTCGTCAATGCTTACAGCGCCAGCAAAGCAACTGAATAAGCAAGCCCTTGAATCGAATATTATGGTTTGTTTTCTCATAATGTTGAATTACAACATTATTTATACGGTTCTCAACCAACAAAATCACCCAACATAAAATGCCTAATGGGCTCTGTCAGAAAATCACTTATGTTTATTGGGCCATTAGGTAGGTCATTTTTTGGTATATTTCCACCAGTCCCAATCATTTTGATAATGGTAAACCAGCAAATATTTTTCTCTTTTTTTTTTTTCCACACAACAACAGTTTCCTACATCAATTCTCTATATAGTAAGATAGGGTCAAAAACAAGCCAAGTAGCCAACCAAAGATCGTTAGAGACAACAATAATTGACAAAGAGTCGTCTTCACGTCAAATAGGAGAAGAAGTAACAGTCTCTAACGAACGAGGTCAGACCTTTTCTTTATAACTTCATCTCAAAGCCACTCTCCTTTCTTTTCTTGAAGAGGAGTTGGTGATGACGACACTTCATCTCCCATGAAATTACCATTATGCCCTTCGGTTTAGTTGTTAGTCTTACTCCTATATCTAATTTCGCTTCTCCTTTTCTTAAACCACCATTGGATAGTTTTTCTTAAACAAACTATATATACTTAAAAAACCAAAACATTTTGAGAAGACGATGGCTCGATACCGACCACTGAAGTCGTTCTAACCTCTTCAATGGATAGTACTGTAATTTTTGGTAATATCAATTAATGTATTTAAAAAAAATTCAACAGTCAACATCTATATTATTATTTTCTTTATTAAACAAGTCGAATCCAAATTTGGTGTGTTTTGGTTTAGCTAATCACTTGCTACTAAACTAATCACAATCCATTAATCATTTAATAACTAAAAGGTCCAACCCCCATTAAACCAAAACTATTTTTCATATTTATAACAAAGCTTTTCCCTCCACGCAACTTCAATATTCAAAAAACAAAACATCTCTTCACTTCATATCACACCATGCATCATCATCATCATCCATGCAATCGCAAACCCTTCACAACTATCTTCTTCGTCTCCCTTCTCTATCTCAATCTCCATAACCCACATATCATCGAAGCTCGAAACCCATCCCCTGACGTCTCTATACCGGAAATCAAACGTCACCTTCAACAGTACGGTTACCTCCCACAAAAAAACGAACCCGACGACGTTTCGTTCGAGCAAGCTCTCGCTCGTTACCAGAAAAATCTCGGTCTACCGATAACCGGGAAACCAGATTCCGACACGTTGTCACAGATTCTATTACCAAGATGTGGATTCCCTGATGACGTGGAACCCAAAACGGCACCGTTTCACACAGGGAAAAAATACGTGTACTTCCCTGGACGGCCCAGGTGGACAAGAGACGTCCCACTGAAACTTACGTACGCCTTCTCACAGGAGAACCTAACCCCATACTTAGCACCAACAGACATTCGGCGCGTGTTCCGACGCGCTTTCGGCAAGTGGGCTTCGGTGATCCCCGTAACCTTCATCGAAACAGAGGATTACGTCATCGCCGACATCAAGATCGGATTCTTCAACGGAGATCACGGCGACGGAGAGCCGTTCGACGGCGTTTTAGGTGTTTTAGCTCACACTTTCTCGCCGGAAAACGGTAGGCTTCACCTAGACAAAGCAGAGACGTGGGCCGTTGATTTCAATGAGGAAAAATCTACGGTGGCCGTCGATTTGGAGTCTGTGGCGGTGCACGAGATCGGTCACGTGCTTGGACTTGGCCATAGCTCGGTGAAAGACGCGGCTATGTATCCAACTTTGAAGCCAAGAAGTAAGAAAGTGAATTTGAATATGGACGACGTCGTTGGAGTACAGTCTTTGTACGGAACAAACCCTAATTTCACGTTAAGTAGTTTACTTGCGTCGGAAACTTCGACCAACCTAGCCGATGATGGTTCGATGAGACGGTCTCAAGGAATGATCTATTCGACTTTGAGTACAGTTATCGCTCTCTGTTTTCTTAATTGGTAGACTAGAATAACTAGATAAATTTACTTTATACAAGAAATCTGAAAACGTATAGAAGAATCATACAGACACATGAAAATTATTAATTTGTTGTTTTATTTCTTAACTTCAAAGTAGTAGTCTAATCTTATGTTTATGTTTAGAATAACATTGTTCTTTTTTAGTTTATATTTGATTGGGCTTCAAATTATACGGCCCAATAGAATGCTGATGATGCTAATGTATTGATGATATAAGAACCAGTCTAGACCAACACAATTCACAGTTCACAGTTCGTTGGCCTGTGTTCTTGAATTTTCAAAGCTCATTTTCGTTTGTTTTCTTGAAAGAAGTAAACACAAAAGACACACCAGAGGATTCTTAGAATCGGGTATTTTCAGGAAAGATTTAACCGGAAAATGACAAATGAATACTACTATTATTTCTTTTATTCAGACAGAGTACATTATTATTTAAGAAAAAAATATTGAAGACATCCGACACATTTTCTTTGGATATACATATCTATCCCCAATTGTCGTTGTCGCATTGAAAAGGAAGTAGGCTCCACGGCCCATAATCATATTAACGGTACGGCCTGGTTGAATCACTTTCTTCTCTTCTCTATCATTTTGGGTTGTTGGTTATATAATTCATAATGATTGTTTGGGGATTAGTTTAAGAGCCAATTTAAAGACTACTGCAATTGTCGTTCGAAAAAGAAATTTACCACCGTAAGTTTATACCACCGGATTTTGAGGTTTATTCCGTTTTTATGTAATTGTAGTTTTTGACATTTTTATGTAAAAAGTATATAAATTAACTAGTAGTTTAGTTTTAATGGATTTCACACTACTTTTTTAGTTCTCATGTTTTTAAAAAAACAATCTTATAAACTTGTTTCATGTGTTCATGATTAATTTTTATTGGCTGAGACAATATCTATGTAGATCACTTTTTATTTTATGCGTATTGCCTCTTCTTCTAACTATTTCATCATATTCACGTCAGGAAAAAATATCATCGTTTAACTTCATTGGTTCCCGGCCAACATTTGGGGTGTATAGGATCTCTAGTTCATTTGAAAAATTATTACTTAACAACTATATTTTGTATTTGTCACAAATAATCTCTTATACGTTATCTTATTTTATAGTATGTACGCTATATTTCTTTTTATTTATCCAATTTTGTCGACATTCACCAATTTTACCAAAAAAAAAAAGACATTCATCAATTTTCATCGCTATAACTAAAACATTAGGTACGTAAGAGTGAAGACTTTGAATGGAAACTCCGTAGAACTAAAACCATTAAACCAATTGATGGCATTAGCATTCTTAGGCTTTCCTTGAAAAATTCGGAATTAATTAGATAAATGTAAAAAATATGTAGTAAACATTTGAAAATTGTAAATATTAAAGAAGGAGACAAGAGGGATAAAGGAAGAGCATATGGTCTATCATCTTTGCATGTTATTCGTCAGAAGAGATTATTATCTAAACCAAAAAACGACTCCTTTTATTTTCTTTATATATAACTTTATTTTCTTCAAAAATTGACTTGAAAAAAAAGATCGAGTGTTGTTGAGAAAAACTCATATAATAATATTCGGTGTCATTATGGGCACATGAGGCCGCACGTGTTCTTGCTGTTTACTTTGGGATCACCGTCCTCTGTCACGTCACGTGATTCAAGAAAACAAAAAAAATCAAAAGAATAAACAAAAAAAAAAAGATTTAGCATATAGTAATATCAATAATGACATATATATTCGTCGTTACATATATAATAAAATGAATATATGCGAGTAACGAGCGTTCTTAGTGGTCACTTGCACACTACTAGTGTCACGAGACCACAACATTTGGGGAGTATCAAATCCATAAGTCAATTTTAAAAACTATACACATTTTTTGTTTTTGTTAAATAAGACCAAAACAATAGACTCTGATTGAAAGAGAGAGACTAAAGAAAAGTTAGTGTCACCGTACGTCAATGTACTTTCTTTCTATTGTTTTTTCTCTCTTTTCATATTTTTGGGGGGGAATAATCATATATTATTGCAGGAAATAGCTAAATTATGGTTTGGTAAATTATGGTATAAATAGTAAATTTGAGTACATGGATTTAGAAAGTGAACCTTCCGAGCCAAGAAGAAGGTGACAGCTGGAAAAGACACTGTCGGTAGTAAGTGAAAATAATTATAAAAAACAAATATCTTTCATATGGGTACCTCTCGTTCTGTGCCATCGTGATTACTTAATGTTGAATGTGCAGTGGGGTTGGGCCCTTGTGGGTAGACACTTTGTTAGTAACAAATAAAAAAATACGTTACTTACCAAAAAAAAAAACTAAAAAAATACTTCAGTATATGATTTTTTCACACAACTCAAATGTTATGTTATAAATTAAATTTTATCTCAAGGTGATCAAAACCCTAGCAAGCGTCACACGACACGGCCCGTTTCTTTCTCCTTCTCTTTAATTAAACTCAATAGTATTTCATTACGTTTTGTGTAGATTCTTAAAATAGGGGGAAGACGATACTACATTTTTTCGTGCAAATAAATAGTTTTTTTTTTAAATAAACAGTTTTTAATTACTCTTTTTTAGTGAAATTGCACGGTGTTGCACAACAATTCAGTTCAAACATATAAAAATTAATAGACGTATATCTAAATTACTTACATATGAGTTTCATTTCTAAAAACATTCAATTGATTTTATTAGGATCAATTAAATCTAAATACACAGATGACTGAAAAATTAAGAATATATACATGTTTTTTTGTATAATTAGTTCTCTCTCATCAATTTGTATAAGTTGGACAAAAATACCCCTCCGCATGTAACAAATTGTTTACCGTTATAACAAAATAGATATCGATGAGACATAAATTTCAGATAATAGTTTCGGTCAAATTTTCGATTATGACTCAATTTTCGATAAATCATATTATATCGCGATAAGTTTATAAGTTACATGGTAAACTAAAATTTATCGTGTTAAAATATTTATTATATGATTATATCAGCTAACTTATGTATTAACCGGTTTATTTACTTTAGTAATTTAATTATTTCCGTTAACTTATACATTAGCGTATTCATTTATCATGATAATATAATTGTTACGTTTAAGATATGTTAGCCTTTTATATACGTTGCTAATGAAATTGTTATCCGTTTATGAAATTGAACCCAGAAGAATGTAACAATGGTTGTTGCCATCGACAACCCATTCTCCCACTCTCGATATCATCATCACCACCACCACCTGTAAATCACTGAAACTACCATCGATAATTCAACTACGACCACCGCCGATAAAATTATCACTGTCGGTATCATCATCATCTATCGCCACCGGTATCATTATCACCACTACCATCTATAGATCACAGAATCTACCACAATTTTGATTTTGGTATTCACATAATCAAAACCCAAACAAATTTGATTTTGGTCTGCACATAATCGTGAAGAGAAGAAAAAAGGAAGAAAAAAAAAAAAAAATTAAAAATAAATAGTTTAATTATAGTGAAGGATGGAGTTGTCTTTTCCACATGTATAAAAAATATCAAATAGTATTTAAGAGAATAAACTAATTATTGAATCTTCTATTGTCATCCTTTATAGATACTCATTTTATTATTCGTTATACTCTTTTCTTATTTTATTTTTTTAATGCATCATCTAATTACTCTTATATTCCTCTTCTTTTACAACTTTCTGGCCCCCACATGGAGCCACGTGGCTATATTAACTTTTCCTTTTTACATTCGTTTATTTTATTTTCGTAAAAGAGATGAAAATAATTTATCTTTAGAACTTGTGTGGATAGGTCAATAACTAAATTTGTCGGTACGTACCATGAAGCATGTGTTATGCCTATATATATTTGGAAAAATAAAAAGAGAGATGGTGAAATTAGCTTAACTAATAGTTTATCCGCCGAACAACTCTTGTACTCGTAAAAAATAAAATAAAAATTCAGACAAATTGGTCATCTTCCATTTTTCGTCTGCAGCATATACGTGTACTATTTCGCAAATCCTAATATCCGTAATATTTTGGAGCAAATCAAATAGAAAAATGTAGTATTCGTAAAAACCGAAGCAAATAATAAATTTGTTTTTTTTAAAGTCGGTTATCCGCTTCGATCCGTATTTTTTGATATAGATTAGAAATATATATATGTATATCGTAATATATTTTTGGCTTGTATTTGTAAACTCAGTTTTTTATCCTTCGGACCTGTATTTGTGACACAATTTAATAGTTTTTATTAGTGAAGTGAAATTTATTTTTTTTAAAAAATCAATATCCCTTGAAAATAAGAAGTTGGAATCCTGTGACGACTTCTTTTTCCCAAATTTTATATTTTTCTTCGAAGTTTTACATGCGAGCGCTTAGCTTTTTAGGGTTTTAATAAGTGCAGAAATATCGAAGCGGATATCCGCAAATATCACAAAAAAATCCGGATATTCGATATTCCGAATATCTTGAAATTTTCGGATCAAAGCAAATCATAAATCAAGTATTATTTTTTTTTTTTGTCATCCACAAATCAAATATTCGGTTAAATCGAATCGAATAACGAATATCCCAAATTTTTCGGATATCCGCTTTGTGCCCAGTCCTAATAGTATACGCATTAAATGGAGCAATGCAAATTGTACGTCAATTGTAGTTTGTGTACATATATAGAAATGACGATACTGTAGCAAACGCTGTGGTAGCCAACGAACAAAGTTTCATATACGGACATGCGTATGACTATTTGAAAGAAAAAGAGCACAGAGAAATAGATAGATAGACCCACTAAATAAGTAAATAATACGTACATAATATTTAGTACAGAAGCAATGAAAGAGACGTATATATATATGATGACTGAAAACATTTTTGTAATTATAAGAAAAAACAAAATATAAAGTTATGCACGATCGATCAGGGTTAAGTTAACTCTGTTTGAAAATTGGTTTCGATATATATCATAATTTTCTGGCTCAAATGCCATACCACTCAAAACAAAGTTAGATAAATTAACAACAAATATCATTGTTTAAATGAAATCCCTCTTATTGAAAAGATCGAGTTGCTGAAAACTAAATCCTATTACTTATATGTGATACCGTATGTTGCTTAGTCAAATTTTATTTTAATGAAATCACGAGAAGGAAGTCAAGGAACATATACAAAATTAACTAAGCAATTATCAAATTTTCAAAATCAACTCATGGTGAAGTAATAGTAGTTGAAAGTTAGTCATGTGACATGTTAAACTCGAGTTTTCTTGTTAGAATATATATTTTCACTTCGATTAGTTGGCTACTACAAAGTACAAACACATTAAAAATATGAAAAAAACATTCTATTGTGAAGGCTTATAATGAATTTGTGTAGTTTTTAATGCCGATTGTATAAATTGAAGTAATTAAGTTTACACTAACTCTATTCAACCGTGTAGTATAAGTTTTTGAACATTTCAATATAACTTAGTGACTGCACACTGTATATAGTTTTAACTCTCTTTTTCTCATAGATAAAGGTGGATGATATGATGATATATAAAAAAATAAATAAAGAAGAGAGAAGTGAATAAGGTCGAGTCGGTCACTACTCACGGTGCATGGTCACTCTCTCTGCACGTTCTCTTGCCCTCTCTCTCTCTCATTATCTCCCCTATTAAAGACTCTAACCAGTCACACAGAGAGTGAGAGAGAGACAGAGTCAGAGTCTTCTTCTTCTGCAAGAGATAAACCATCAACCATAATCTATAACAATGGACGTTTATGGCTTATCTTCACCAGACTTACTTCGAATCGATGACCTTCTTGATTTCTCCAACGAAGACATCTTCTCCGCCTCTTCTTCCGGTGGTTCCACCGCCGCTACTTCCTCTTCTTCTTTCCCTCCTCCTCAAAACCCTAATTTCCACCACCACCATCTCCCTTCCTCCGCCGATCATCACTCCTTCCTCCACGACATTTGTGTTCCCGTATAATCTCTCTCCCTCTCTCTCGCCAATCATCAAAAGTTTCCATTTTTAAAGATTGTGTTTTGATTTTCTTGATTTTGTGTGCAGAGTGATGACGCAGCTCATCTTGAATGGCTTTCGCAATTCGTAGACGATTCTTTCGCTGATTTTCCGGCGAATCCATTAGGAGGAACTATGACTTCGGCCAAAACTGAAACTTCATTTCCTGGGAAACCAAGAAGCAAACGATCAAGAGCTCCTGCTCCTTTCGCCGGAACATGGTCACCGATGCCAACGGAATCCGAGCATCATCAGCTTCACTCCGCCGCGAAATTCAAGCCAAAGAAAGAACATTCCGGAGGAGGAGGAGGAGGAAGACATCAGTCGTCGTCATCGGAGTCGGCGGAAGGAGGAGGAATGAGGAGATGTACTCACTGTGCATCGGAGAAGACGCCACAATGGAGGACAGGACCACTGGGACCTAAAACGTTATGTAACGCTTGTGGAGTCCGGTTTAAATCCGGTAGACTTGTACCGGAATATAGACCGGCTTCGAGTCCGACTTTTGTTTTGACTCAACATTCAAACTCTCACCGGAAAGTGATGGAGCTTCGACGGCAGAAAGAAGTTATGAGACAACCACAGCAAGTTCAACTTCATCACCACCACCACCCGTTTTAGTTTCCACTGCCTCGTCCGTCGTCTCTTTTTTTTGGTTCTTGGGGTTGGGTTTTGGGGTAACGTCACGTGATGATGACGTGTCGCGATCCTAGCGGCGTTAATCACGTGACCGACGACGACGGGAGCCTAAAATTTTTAGCGAACGTTGCAAAATCAAACCTCTTTTAATTGTTAATTATTAAAAAAATTACATCTTTTGGTTTGCCTTTTCTCCTACGTTATTTACTTCATCCTTCAATCTTTTAATTGTTAATGATTTAATCATTTACTGAAGCATGAATTAGAAAAAGCTTCATTAATTTCCGCTTACACTAAACGGCGTCAGTGTTCAGAGTTATATATATTATCCACTTGCACCCTTATTGCGACTTCACGTTTCGACCAAAATTTATTCTCTGTGGTCCTAATCCGGTTTACGAAATTGTGAATTAGGGTTCGTTTTGCTCCATTCTACAAAATTGATATAACAGCTTCAAATTAAAGATGGAATCTAATTTGAAACTATAACAAATTCAAAGGGAAAACTGGATTTTAAAAGTACACCTTCATGGGAGACTTAAACATGACAACATCATCATGAACTTGTATTACTAACTATCGCCAAAGAACGAAAGCCCTTGAAAACCCAAGACAACAAGAGATTACATCTTTGGCATTTGACACCAAACCAAAAAAGAAAGTTTGAATCATGTTGTAGACATTATTATTGTGTAATTTTGCTCCATCATCTAAAGAACCTCAAGATTAAACAAATTCGTAGCTCGAAAATGGGGTTTGGTTTGCCTCATACGGAGATACCATAGTTGCTGATCTTGTTCACTTCCTTTGTCAAAGCGTTTCTCTCTTGCTTCACTTCAGAAGCACGGTTTGATATCTGAGATTGAACAAGTCAGATATCTCCATTATACTATGTATATAAATGATTATAGATTTATTCCAAACTAGTTCAGCACCTATCTCTAGATCCAGCTCCTATACTCTACATAGAAGAGCAAAGAGACTAGTAATACTTACTTGAGTGCGGAATCGAGAAGCTTCTCTCGTTGGCAGTTCTTTTAGTACATCTTTCAAACCTGTATATAAAGAATGACCGTGGTTATAAGTAGATAAGCTTTGTTACGGCAGTTCTTCTGTTCTATGCATATTTTTGGTTTCACAAACTGTAGCATGATAGCACAGAAAGGTGTACCTGCTGCTTGCTTTTCAATCTTATAAGCTGAGCTGATCGCACCTCTGATCTGTTTGCCTGCTTGCCTGTGTAAAAAGATGAAGAAAGTTAACATAATATTCATGTTGATACATATCCAATATACTAATCTTGTAATTTTTCTGGATCATAAACCTGAGTTTCATCCTTCCTCTAATCAATTCCTCTTCTGCCACAGTTGCGACTCTCTGAAGCAATCAAAGTTAAAAGTTGTTAAGAATTCAAAAACCGTAATCCAACACCGGCTTCAATGTCTGCGAAAGTAGAAGCATTCATCCATATCCACTGAATAAGGCTATATAGAAAGTTCTCTGTTCCAAACCTAACCCCTTTCAATTTTCATCCTAAACGCCACACATTCTATTTCAAAATAAAGGGATACTGAAGCAAAACCGAAAAGAGAGTAATATAGCTAACTAAACGCATAACATAGGAAGTCTTCTCCACAAACGCCAACCTCATGTTAACCAGAACAACTCTTAAAACAAAAGAAAAGGCTTACCTCTAACTTTTCACTCTCGGCTTTAAGACGATCCATTGATTGTCGCAACTCTTTTACTTTAAGATCAGCTCTAGAAAGCAAAGCCTGAATCCAAAACATAGTGTCAAGAGTCAAGAACATCTTTAAGCACAGAAAGACCAGTTTATACATTCAACGAAGTTGTATAAAACACTGACCTCTTCACTTACAAACATGCGTACAGTATTGTAATATACAAATTTTCTTGTCTCTGCAAACAAACAATCACTAAAAGAGTTCATAACATATACAACTTGTGAATTCATAACATAACATCCTAGGAGATGGAAACTCTAGGGAGATCAAAAGAATATCCAGAAACATACTTTTCAGAGCAAAAATCCCAACTCCAAAAGCTAAGGTGCCTGATATTAACGGATGAGATGCAGCAACATTCACACCATCTACATACAAGATTGATAAACATATGAGCTAAGAGAAACAAATCACAACAACATAGAGTAGTCAGCAAAAGTAGAGCAGACCTTTAATCTTCCCAAACACCATTTGCTCGTAAACGTTATACTCAGAAGCAATGTCTCGAAGAGAATCCTATAATATACCAAAACCTCGATTTCGTGAGAGGATAAACAATCACACCAATGGCATAGAGAATGGATGTTGTGAATTTCAGATTCGCTTTGGATTCCAATGAAAATAGGGAGTCGTAGTAAGCTTACGATGGTTTGGCTCGTGTGAGCTACAGAAGTATCTCGAATCTGAGACAATCTAGCTTTGGAGGCGTCAATGGTAGAATCCACCGTCTCCGAGATCGTCTTCTGGTATACAAGCGCCTGACGCAACGCATCATCGATCCAGGAAGCCGCATTTTCCACCGTCGTCGTTGCGATCTTCTGATACTCCGGCGGGTGCACTGGCGAAGATTGTTGAATCTCCGGCGGATTCGTGTTGTCCATCTCTGAGGATAATGATTCTCCCAAGGCTGCCATTAGAAAAGATCTCTCCAAAAACCGCGACCTCCTTCGCTCAAAATCTGAAGAAAACCCGGTGGACGAAAGAATGACCCGAATATAAATTAACCGGGCCCCGTTTCAGATTGACAACTTAAGCCCCTCAAATTTCAATTTATTCCCAACATTTCCCTTTCATTTCTTAATTGTTCAATAAAATCCAGAGACTTTTATTAGATTAGTGGTGTTTAACTAACACTTAATCTCCTCTGAGCCGTGTTAAGCCTCAACTATTTCACTCCTTAAATTTAGATGATGTTAATGACTTCTTCGAAAACTATATGGTGATGATAGTACTCATTTGTGAGATGTATAAAACGCTCATGCCTATAATTTGTGCGAAGGATATTAAATTTTTGAATGTCAAGAAACTGGAATTGTGAAGATCGTTTATACTCAGGTAATAAACCACAAAATTAAAACATTAACTGAACCCACTGTCTAATATTTTGATCACTAGCAGTCACTTAGGGTGGCGATGTCTTCAACTATTATCTTTCTCATCACTTGACAAAGTAGAGCTTGCCCATGACATGAAGCACCGCGACGAAAGCAATGAAACCAATGCTCATGATAAGGACAACATTAGGGGAGATCTTGAGACCAGGTGCGTCATCGGTGTAGAACTGAAGCATGGATCCAGCTGCACCACCAGAGGCTCCTCCTCCACCAGCACCACTGGCCGGCTTCCTCCTACGCATGCTTGCAGTTGCTGCTGCACTTCCTCTCTGTGGAGCTCCACTACCCACCATTCTTTCTTCTTTTCTTACTATCTGAGATATTGGTATACAAAGTTTTAGGAAATCGAAAGCAAAAGAGTGATCTTATATAAAAACACAAGAATTATTAAGCAAATGAAAAAATAGGAGACATCCAAACACCATTAAGCTAATATATGTTTAGTTTTCCATGGTCATACATTCTATATGATACTAGAAACCTCTGGTAAAAGATTTGCATCCTAAATCGCACAAGGCAACTAAGTAAACTTAAATTTATATACTATTACCACATGATTCCATTACCCGTAAGCTCAAATCAGCACAAATTCAGGTTCAATCATGTAAATTACTTGGTACAATCCTGTTCTGGTTACCAAGTGTTCTTGGAGACGTAATTGAAAGAAACTTGTTCCAATTTGTCAGATATTATATGAGATTGAGCTGCATTTTCAAGAGATAGAAGATTCGAAACTCTCAAACGCAGGGCACCAATTTCAGTATCGAGTCAACAAAACTCAATTAGATGAAGCAATGCTAAAATTCTCAAATCAGCGAGACAAATTCAACATCGAGACCTATTTAACAATGAACATGCAAAATTCAATATAAATTTCTCAGATGCTATGCATGTTGAATCGTATCCAGATCGGGAATCGTATACCACCACCGATACTCGGATTCAACATCGAGATCTCATTATCAGATCTACGCACACGCTCATCTAACAAACCATAGATCTACAAATTTCCTCAATCACCAGAGATTTAGATCGTAAACAACAACAATCACAAAAGACTCACCTGATTCGGCTTACAAATTCTGATGACGACGAGAGAACGATTCGTGACGGAGAGATTTGAAGACTTTCGGAGTTGACCAGACTCTTAATAACAATTTTTATAGGAGGGGATATTTTTTCTCGCCACGCATTTTTTTATGTATTAGCCAATTAACAAACGCCATCTCAGCGTAATTATCAGAGCTTTTTTAGAAGCGTAAGTGGGAGAGATAACTAAGTTAAAGCCCAAACAATGAAGGCCCATAAAAGCCCAAAATAAAGTCCATCAGCATAAAAGTACGTATTGTCAACAACTTTTCTCGCACGACAGAAAATTTATAAGAATTAAAAAGAAATGTTTGTTGAATATAATGTAGGGATAATGAATCTAAAGATTGATTGTGTAATCATTTACTTTATTTGTAGGTCATATGAGAAGAAATCTGAAATGTGTGATTTTACAGGCAAAATTAATGTTTATGGCTTTTGATTCCCTAATATCAAAGGACAAAATCTAAGCCAGATAAACAAAATATCTTCCAACCGAAATTAGGTCCACATCATTTATCTGTAGATTTTTCCATATGAGTTTGATTAAAAGCTGATTTAATTGTGACTAATATGGAGAAAATTAAGCTTGGGATACGATCATACGAGTCATGAAAGAAGTTTCGTATCGAATTCGTACGTACGAACAAAAGTACGTAGCTAGACATCAATAAAAGCATACTATGTATTAGATCTGAAACACGAATCTCGAGATGGAGACAGATATGTGAATCAGAGAGTGTAATTGTAATGATACATATCTATCGGGCATAAGGTTATGGAGCCTGACATTTTGTGTACGGCCACAGACTCGACATATACTGTTTTTTACCTTCGTACATATCGATCATTTCCAAAATTTGATTTCATTCATAGTATGTTCCAATCAATCAATGCTGTATATTTTTATTTTATATATTCTCAAAAAACAGTGATTGATGATGAAAGTTATCAAAACAATGTCTAAGTTTGATGTTGGTTGATATCCTTAATACTGTTATTTTTTGTATGATAAGGAGACTAATTTTCCGTATTCAATTTTGATCACTATTTCAAATGATCGTATGTCATATTCATTTTTGGTAGAATAATGTTCACACTATACTCTTACTTTTAAAATGACAAGGATATGTCATTGACATGAATATATAAATTAAGGAAAAGATATGATGTTAAATCTTATAAATAAGGTGGGGGAGAGACAAATAAATACTAAGAAAAAATAATTGAATAAGCGAAGCAATGATGAAGTAGTAAATTATTTTTTGACGGGACGATATTTTGTGTGTAAGAAAAATCAAAACGGGGTCCCTTTTTTGGCATTTATTATCAAACGTATTCGTGCGGTGGCGGTGGTTATCTCAATTTATTACTTGTACTTTATTTTGTCCCTCCAGATTCATCTAGTATTTTTTTCTTTTCTTTATTTATTATTCACCACACGAAAATAAATATATCATCAAGTTTACCATGTTGGAGTTGTACCCTAGATATCAGAAGTTGTACTATAATTTCTTTAGTTTGAGTTGCAGTTGTCGAGCAGATACGTAAGGATGGAAAAACGTGAATAGTAACATATTTTAAAAATGGCATCATGATTACTGTTGGTGTCGGATCCCGCAGTTCGGATCCGGCCCGGAAAGATAGTGGATCAATAAGATGAAGTGGGCCGTCGGCCCGGTCCAGGGGACGAAAAGAGCGGCCCAATAAGTTCCAGCCCAGTTCGAGTAAAACGTCGGAATCTCACGAGTTAAATGAAAGGCGGGTTGCACGGGATCTGCTAGATCGGGAAGATTCGAAACGGAAGCAATAATGAAGGCGAGATCTGCGGCTTGATGAGCGGCTTCGGTTTCAAATCATGTAATTATAAATAGAAAACGAAAACCATTGTATGGAGGGATCGAATTCTTGAGCAATAAACAGACACATATACTTCACTCTTTTGTTTTATTTTTCACGATTGTTATTTGAATTAGCAAGGCTAGACGACCCGATACACATCTTAAAATATATTACGGATTCCGACATCCACAATTACGAATGCTAATAATAGCAGTGTGATTTCACTATCTTCGTCGTGCTATTTTAAAATAAAATAAAATAAAAAGATTGGAACGGACTAATATCCTTAAAACGCTCTATTGTTAAGGCGGATTATTTTTTGTTTGTGTTCATAAACACGTTTTACAGTTGGTTTGTATATATATTTCAAATTTTATAGACTAAAATTTAAAAATGATGAATAGAAAGTAGAAACAATAATCTACACATTGATAAACTCGTTCCTGTCTATACAACTATCAAACCCCTTAGATCACATTACTTTTATATGATTTTTTGAGTTTTGAAATTAACACTCTCGTGTTGCAGATGGTATAAGGTCATCGAGTAATATCGCTTAAAAAAATTATACTTCGTTTTAAAGTTTATCATCAGCTCGTATATAGTTTATTAATAGTAATACGTTTATCTTTTAATTTATTTAAAGAAAGGAAAAAAATCAAATAATATATATTTGGTATTTTCGTGAAAATATAAATGTACGGCTATTGAAAGAAATATATAATCATTGAATAGGAAAATAAATGTTTGTGTGCGTTGTCTTTGATGGAACCTCCACGCGTGTGAGTAGTGATCCTTGTGGATCCTTCGAAGCTCACGACGTTCGACGTTGACGAAATTTACACGTGTGTCTTAAACAGTACGACACGCATTGTTTAAAACCACTTGATAATTTTTAAAAATATAACATGAGTGGGCATAATCCTAATGGCTAGAAGCCTAAAACCCTCCGGCTCCACCAGAGAGTTTCACCGATGTTGAGAGTTCACATCTCTTTCTCTCTATTCACCGTCTTCAACATAGACTGTCGGCGGAGTCTTCTTTGTTGAAATTAATTAATTATAAGTTGAGATTCTTCAATTTTTGTACTTTGGACTTGGTTCATTATATTTGAAATTTCAATTGATTTTAAATATCAATGTGAATAAAATATGGAAAATCTAACCAGAAGCTTAGCTGTTGCACTTACACATTTGTTTCCGGCTTGAATAAATAATTAATTACTTATTTTAGTAACTTCTCTACAGCTTCCATATGACTCCAAAAACCTATGTCGATTCTCTTTTCGATAAAATTCCATATTATAAAATTATATATCCTCTCACTCTAAATGAATTAAAAATTAAAATCGTCAACTACATTATCATTTCACGAGTGGTTAGAAATATGATTTATTTTTCAAAAATCTACTATGTAGTTTGTGTTCCAAAGAAACGAGGAAGTCGAATATATGTGTTATGAACTGATGACTTTGTTTTGTTTTGCTTTTTTTACTACAAATTGTAATCTAGATCAAAATCGACCAGACTAATCTCTAGAGTAATATAAATATCTAGTAGATTATTCACTAATTTTTTTTAATGGACCTAAATATGATCAGTTGAGCAAACGAAAATGAAAGAATTTCGACATCGAATGAGAATCGAACATGGAAAAAACAAGTTGACGCCATTTACTCTATATATTTTTGACCACCAAGTCACTACCATTTGGTTGAGTTTGTATTTAAAACCAACAAAAACTTTTAAGAACAAACTTTAAAAAAACGTTTTTTACTTATAATAGGTGAAAATTAAATAGCTTTATCTAGACTAAAGAGATTCAAATCTGAGCTATAGTTACGTTTCAAAATAAAACCTGAACTTTCGTAGTTTGCACGAGCTATGTTTTAATACTATTAAATATTCTTAAAGCCTTTTATCAAAAAAAATATATATATATATATTCAGTACACACACACTATAGTTAGTAGTAGTAGTAACTTATAAACATTAAACTAAAATATTTTCAAATAAAGAAGAGGTGAGGAAGTTGCCCTACATCGGAAAGCTACTCTTCTCCATCCTCTTGACTACTGTATATAAAAAGCCTCTCAAAACCTCCCTTCCATTTTCATTCTCATTCTCAAATTCAGTTTCTCAAAAAACCCATTAAGTTTCTCCGATCAATGTATTCTCTAGCGATTTCTCCGAGGAAGCTCCGATCAGACCTCTACTCATACTCTTACCAAGATGACTCCAACACAGTACCTCTAGTCATCTCTGTACTCTCGTCTCTGATCGAACGGACTTTGGCTAGGAACGAGAGAATCAGCCGGAGCTACGGTGGTTTTGGTAAGACACGTGTCTTTGATTGCCGGGAGATTCCTGATATGACTATTCAATCATACCTAGAGAGGATTTTCCGGTATACCAAAGCCGGTCCATCGGTTTACGTCGTTGCCTATGTATACATTGATCGGTTCTGTCAGAATAACCAAGGTTTCAGAATCAGTTTAACCAATGTACATCGTCTCCTTATCACAACTATCATGATCGCTTCCAAATACGTCGAAGATATGTAAGTTAATTACCTCCAAAACAGAGTTTGAATATTTCCAAAAAAAAAAATCCTCTGTTTTTCTTGAACTCATTTGCTCTATCTTTGTTTCTTACAGGAACTATAGAAACTCGTACTTTGCGAAAGTAGGAGGATTAGAGACAGAAGATTTGAACAATTTGGAACTGGAGTTCTTGTTCTTGATGGGATTTAAGTTGCATGTGAATGTGAGTGTATTCGAGAGTTACTGTTGTCATCTTGAAAGAGAAGTTAGTATCGGAGGAGGTTATCAGATCGAAAAGGCATTACGTTGCGCTGAGGAAATCAAATCTAGACAAATTGTTCAAGATCCTAAACATCATCATCACCATCAATTTTCTCGAATCTTGTTGTAGTCTAAGAACAACTCTGTTTTTTTTTTTTTTTTTTTTTTGTCGTTTTGCTTTTGAGGAGGGCCTTTGACTTTCTGATTTCCTTGTCGGTCGGTTTTTTTCTTTGGTTGTTGTTTTCTTGAAATGTAAATAGAGAAAAAAGTATAGCGACTGAGATTGTATATGTATGTATGATGTATCAGCATTGTAGATTCTATTCTATGTACCTATTGAAATTTAATGAGATGGTTTTTATTTGCAAAATCTATGTTAATCTGTTCTTTTGTCATCTAATATATCATTTTTTTGTCATCTAATAGTTTCTTAGACATGTGAACTAATAACTTCGCGCGGTTTCGACACTACATATCCATGAATAATTAGGTGTTTTCTTATGGTCCGTGATTGTGGTTTCTCATAATGGATTTGTCAATTCATTAGATTTGTTAAGATTTGTTAAGATTTGTTTAGAGTCATGTTCAAATTTTGTGTGTTTTGTATTTTTCTTGTTTTAGATTTGACATTTTAACCAGCAAAGCAAACACAAGTATTTACATTTTCTACTTTGCAAAGATGTTGAAACAGGAGACACTGTTACAGCTCATAAATGAGTGAGATCACCGATTGTCTTTATTTAGGAAATAAATAGTTTAAAGATTGTCTTTATTCAGAAAAATAACAGTTCAAAAGATATTACTTGTCAACAATAGTAGGAAATAAATAGTTCAAAGATTGTCAAAAATTGTTACAATAAAATCTTTTGAACTCTTATTTTCCTACACAATATATGCAATTAAAGATTTGATGCAGCATGGAAACGATCTACGTCACTCATGGATGTTGTTTCTTTAGTCTTGTTTTTTTAATCGGGTCGTTGGTCGTATTGTATATTTGTATATGACCATGCCTATTTAAAATAAAAATTCAAATCCGCCAAAAACTAAAAAGCAGTTTTTGGATTTTTCGGATCATTCATTTTGCACAAACTTCGAGTCTTCATCCACTCCTATGAATTATTTCGTCGAGTTTGATGTCTGTTATCTTGAGATTGAAAATTGATGGCAACTCACGAATTTAGTTTAGTAGGAGAAAGAATAATTTCTTACAATATTGAAGGACCATTAGTTCGAAATCTGAAATATAATATACATCAACTAAACCCCCTTACAAAAATTAATTATTTGTTGAAGTTTTTTATTTTTTTGTTAATTGGACCATCATTTGTGTTTTATAAATGAACAGTGTTAGAAAGGTTGTTATTTCGAGTGGCTATGATTATTGTCTACCTAAATAAGAAAAGTGGTCGTTAGTACGAATTATATGATCAAAGCCAGCAAATGGACAATTTAATATTGGAATATACCATTAAATAAGATAAGCGACGGAAGAATCGGACGGTCCACATATTTTCTATAAACAATAATTAGATAAATAAATATATATATTTTTTCTAAAATAGTACAATTAATTATATTTAGAAAAACTCCAAAGTATAGATTATGAAGCTTTGCTAAAGTTTTTTAAAATATCTGCCCAAGTCTATATAAATATTTCATGACCAATTTTGGTGATAATTAGGAATATTTATCTACAATAATACGACTAGATTTGAGAAATATTTATATAAAATGATATCTTCGAAACTATCAATTATGTATGATTTATTTGTTCACAGAATAAAATTATAATCTGTTATAAGAAAAAGGAAAATATATATTCTTTGTTTTTTTGGTTACGTTAAAGTATCAGTTGTACAATTCTTGACAATCAATTATGTTCACAATCATGCAGAATTGCAGGTATCAAACATGAATTGTATCCACATTAATCATTTTGGATACATAATAAAAAGAAAGACAAAGTCAGGATTCGGGTGCTGATTTGGTGTTCAATAATTGATTAATCGGTGGCACATAAACATGCATTACCAATAGCTTATCGTCCTTTCATTTTAATGATGTGCATTAAGAATTTTTAAAATATATATAACAATTGTATGATGCTGATTCATTGAATATTTCCTATGTTTTGTATGCACAAATATGATAAATCAGACTTCAATTATCCAACTGAACAAATACTAATCTTGAATACTGTAGTACGTACGTATAGCACATAAATAAATAGAAATGTTTGTGTTGTCTTGGAAAAACATTATACAAAGAATAGTGCACGTAGTGTGGTTCACGAGCATATTCCTAATCAAAGACATCAATCATTTGATCTAATCCTTTGAACTAGATAACTAAAGATAAGATTAGGATGGGTGTGTTGATTATGATGTCTAATAATTGCCTCACAAGAGGTATACAAATATTTATATTGTAAATACCAAGACTTTAATTTTATCTTTGGAATATACAAATATTCCTATGATGAGTTTTTCCAGTTTTTAGTGGTTTGGATTGGTTTGGTTTTATTGGATTGAATAATGCTACTTGAAGTTGAAGATTATAGCCAATTTCATTATTTAGAGATAAAACAAAGAAAAACACTTCTAGAAAATAACTATGGAAACCACTACTTTTAATTATATTGATTTTCTAAAATTAATATCAATAGAATTCAGAAGAACATTTGACCTACAACTTTTTGTGAACTGTTTTTCTATTTTTTGCATATACTTTGCTTATGTTTTGCTTATATTTTGCTTATATTTTGTTTAAATTTATTAATTTATTTCTCATTTCTTTTATATTCAGTTTTTTTTTTTTTTGTATATGATGATAATTATGTATTGATAGAGTTATGAACTTGTAGTAAACAAATTATCATTTAATGCATGAAAATTTACAATTTAGCGTTTTCGAAAGTATATGATATATAGTTATATTGATTTTCTAAAATTAATATCAATAGAATTTAGAATTGAAAATGTTTAGAAAGACAAAAACTTTTAAAATTATTTTGATTTCCGTTATTTTAAAACCGGTATTACATATTACATTATAATATTCTATAGTGTTTTGGTTAATTAATAATTTTTTTTCATTTACAACTCATACATATACAATATCATATATGAATCCATATTATGATGTAAATGCAACCACCCATCCCAGCCATCTTTCGGATTCCAACTGTCATGGTTCCTTAGTTGATCGCAATATCCGTAACTCCCACACTCATTGTACTCATCGCATTACACCTCTGGCGCTAATAAGAACATATCCCAATCCTGATCCACTTGGTTCCACTTGAACTGCTGCAATAGACCTTTGTAGCTCACAGTCAATTTTGAAGTGATGTCGCTCTTCTGTTGGAGTGTCTAGCTGTCTTTAAAGTTTTCAGTTGCATTTCTGGTACACTGATTTCATTCCACAGAGAGGCACGATAGACGGGTGTGTCTCTGTAACAGAGTAGAAGCTCAGGGAGACTTCTTGATTCTTCCAGACGAAGAGAGTAAAGGTTGATTGAGGAATCATATAAGCGTCTCCATGATATGAAAGATCGGTTTACCCCTAATTTCATTCCCGGTAGTAAGGTATCCATCAGAAAGTCGAAACTTTCCAAAACGATTTTCCTCTGGATGTCTTTCAACACAAAATTATCGTCGGCCGTTAGCAGTTCGGCCACCACAGCCGTTCCTTTGTTAATTGTGGTAGACCGGACTTCTTTACCACCCTACTCCTACTCTAGAAAGAGCCCGTTTGCGGAAAGTCACTGTTTGCGACTCAAAGAAAACTTGTTTGTTGAGTTGCTTGTAATGCAGAAGGTGGTTGAAAACAGAGCCACAACCAAGAAGAAGAAAAAGGTAAAACAGAAATTCACTATTTTTTTCTTCTTTCTCTTCTCTTAGTTGAGTGAAATGTGGAATCATGTTTTTGGAGGGAAAAATATAGAATCTTGTTTTTGGTAGAAAAACTACGGAATTATTTTTTGGCGGGAAAATGTGGAATCACGTTTTTGGCAGAAAAATTACGGAATTATGTTTTTGGCGGAAAAAATGTGAATTTATGTTTTTGACGGAAAAATTACGGAATTATGTAATCGGCGGTAAAATGTGAAATTGTTTCTTGGCGGAAAAATTCTGAATCGCGTTTTTGGCAAAAATTACGGAATTATGTTTTTGGCGGAAAAATGTGAATTTATGTTTTTGGCTGGAAAATGTGGAATCGCGTTTTGGCGGGAAAATTAATTTATTGGTTTTAATAGTTAAATCATGTTTACTTTGGTTTACTAAAATCAGTTTAGACATGTGATTCGGTTATCTTTGGTTTACACATTTAATTTAGATTGTTTACTCTCTATTGGTTTGGTTATGAATAACCCACTAATCCATTCTAATCCAAATTATGAATTTGTGCATTGTTATTTAAAACAAATTAAAAGCTTTTATGAACATTTCTATCATTAGTTAACTTCGATTTCAACTTCTTCTTCTTCTTCGATTTCAAATTAAAAGCTTTTATGAAAATAAATTTGTTTAACTAGTCCGGGCAAAATAAATTTGTCCTCAAAAATATAATTATTAGATAATATAAAGTATGATTAATACAATCCAAAATCGTAACCATCCTCTTCCTCTTCCACTTCGCCTTCATAGAATTTCTCATCTGTGTTCATCTCGTATGGTACCGCGTAGTCTTCTTCATCTTGTTCGTTTTCAACAATCTCATGCTCTTCCTTCTTCTTTGATCTCTTGGGTGATTTCTCAGCTGAAGTATCAAGATCCAAATATTCGCAGTGAATTCCGCGAAATTTCTGTATAACAACTTCAAGACTCAAAATCATAAACACAAAAAAAAAAAACTCTTTATCTTCAAAAGATACAATGTTTTTTACCTTTCTCTTGACCATTCTACCAACAGCTTCCATGGCTGTAGCAGGAGGAGGCGCGTTCTTTTCTTCCTCAGCACGTTGTTGTCGTTTTTCTTTTCTAGATTTCGCCGCAGCTGCTTTAGAAGCTTCGAAAAGGTTGCTTGCATTATTGCTCGCGTTTAAAGCTGCTGCTTCCTTAGCTGCTTCCTTCTACAAAAGAAACCAATTTGGTAAAAGATTCTTTTTTAGGTATGTTAACAACAAAACTATATTCTATAGCCTAATGAATCACCTCATTATATTCGGGGTTTGTTAGATCAAAGACGATCTCAACCTGGCGCACTTCTTCTGGGTTCCGAAAATAACAATCCAACTGGGAAACAGTGAAACGATCAGACTGAAACATATTTGAAGTTAAAGCATTTAATACAAAGACAAGAAAGTAAAAGTTATTGCCCACCTCTCTATCATCAACGTCAGACAAGGTGCTTGATTCATCCGAATGTCCATCCGACTGCCAAAAGACGGATTTGAAGCATAAGTAAGATTTCACAAACAAAGTTTCCTCAGAGATCAAACTAAACTTACATTTAGTTGTTTGTCGTTTTCTTCTCTAGAAGCTTTTTCCTCCATTCTCTCTTTCTCTGCTCGCTGGAAGGCGGGAGGATCCGACCCACCTTCAAGTCCACCAGAAACTTTCATGAACTGCAGAAAGCATCTGCTTGTTAAAAACTCGGAGCAGGACTCACAGTTGCATAAACCGGAGAACAAACATACCTCATCGTAACAGCTCTTACATAATCCATAATCAACAGGTTTACAATCTTGATGCATACAGAGCACTACTCCTTCTTTGTAAGAAATTGGATTCCTTTTACTACGCAATTCCGTTTCTTTTTTTCTTTCTCTTTCAGTTTTACTGAGCTCATCAGCAGTAAAACTTGCAGCCTCGGTATTTCCAAACTCAATCAATCTTTTAGTTAGAGTTGCTTCGCATATATGCACAATTTTCACCTGAATAATATTATTTAGAAAACACACATCAGCACTGAATTACTGAAACAAGAGGCTCAATTGAAATTCTCCAAAATCCTGCCACACGAAATTGAAATTCTCCAAAATCCTGCCACATAAATCACATGACCTGCAACACGAAATTCAGAATAAGAAAGCTCCTAAATCCAACAGAAAGAAACAGATGAGTGAACAAGACTTACAATGCAGCATCATCGGGGCGTATTCCGGGAACGTTCTTCCCACAATGGTTACACCACACCATAGCTCCCAAACTTGGCTTCTAATATGGATCCAAAACTCTCAGATTTGAGGGAAATTAGAGAGAAAGGGAAAGCGCAACAACACGACGAAGAACCATACAAGGTCAGAAAGTCGACGGCTTTTCAGATATTCGTCTTCAAAAAATCTGGCGAAGCAGAGATAAGGGTTTTTCGACGGTCTAGATTTGATCAGATACATCCGGATATTTGACACGACTGCATGGGCTTAATAGTCCGGTTAAGTTATACTGGGCCCGTTTAGTGATCATCTTAAGGTATATCGTGGGCCGGATGTGCACCATCATGAATCTAATAAAGATTAACTTCATAGTTAAACATTTTTTCTACAAGATATAATTCATTGGACTTTCCTTGACGTTTCATTGAAAAATCATTTTTTCCATCAAAACCGTTAAATCATGTTTTTATGCCAAAATCATAAAATACTTTTTTCCGTCAACCAAATAATAATAATTAGATAATAAAAAGTAGGGTTTTGTGCAAAAAAACCCTCGAAGTAACCAATTTTTGCAAGAAAACCCTCCATCTCAAATAAATGCAAGTCAATACCGCCATCTCAAAAGTCACCCGCAATATAGCCCTCGCGTGTATCGATGACGTGGCAGCCGTTAACTCCGTCAGTGGGTTTTGTGCAAAAAAACCCTCGAAGTAGCCAAATTGCAAAAAAACCCTTCATTAAACCAATTTTTGCAAAAAAAACCTTTCGGGTATTTTAAAATTCGGGTACGGGTTCGGGTTTACCTATAATACCCAAAAATAAAAATTGTTGTATGTAAATCTATCCACCCTATTGTTCGTACCGAAGTTGCAATAATAAATAAGTACGAGTTTTTGGGAGCGAACAGAGATATTTCTCTTATTAACGATAATCGTGCTTCCGTGATTACAGAGATGGAATTCGAGTGAACGAGAATACGAAATATACGCAAGAGTTAGCTATGATTTTTAGAGAAGTAATATATGTTTTGTCGAGGCTCTGAGCCTTACAGAAGGTGATTCCGTGCCGGGCACGTTTTTCGAGGCTCTGAGTCTTACAGAAGTTGATTTCGTGGCTTGCACGTTTTTCGAAGCTCTGAGTCTTACAGAAGTTGATTTCGTGGCTTGCACGTTTTTCGAGGCTCTGAGCCTTACAAAATATTTTGTCTCTTTTGCGACGAATTTGGGCTTTTACAGAAGATTTTCTGGTTTTACAGAAAACTTATGTAAATTTTACAGAATTCTTTTGTTAAACCCTAGATTTTTCCTTCTCCTATAAATGGCTCCACCATGTCTTACTTTGATCATGCCAATGATCAGAAATTTATGAAGATATCAAAATCGATTATTACCATATTGTTTCCTTTGCTTCCCTGTACAATCGAATTCTCCAACAATCGTTTTTTCAAAACAAACCTTGGCTACTTTGAGGGTTTTTTTGCACTAAATTTGGCTACTTTGAGGGTTTTCTTGCAAAACTTGACTACTTTGAGGGTTTTTTTGCACAAAAGTTCACTCGTCGTGACGTTTTGGAACAGAGTTAACGGCTGTCACGTCATCGATACACGCGAGGGCTATATTGCGGGTGACTTTTGAGATGGTGGTATTGACTTGCATTTATTTGAGATGGAGGGTTTTCTTGCAAAAATTGGCTACTTCGAGGGTTTTTTTGCACAAAACCCTAAAAAGTATGATTTAATACAATCCAAACTCGTAACCATCCTCTTCCTCTTCCACTTCGCTTTCATAGAATTTCTCATCTGTGTTCATCTCGTATGGTGCCGCGTAGTCTTCTTCATCTTGTTCGTATGGTGCCGCGTAGTCTTCTTCCTCTTGTTCGTTTTCAACAATCTCATGCTCTTCCTTCTTCTTCTTCTCCATCACTGTCTCGGTTTTCGATCTCTTGGGTGATTTCTCAGCTGACGCATCAAGAAGCTCCTCCAAATAATCGCAGTTAATTCTGCGAAATTTCTGTATAAGAAGTTAAAGACTCAAAATCAGAAACACAAAAGAAATCTTTTTCTTCAAAATGTACAATGTTTTTTTTTACCTTTCTCTTGACCATGCTATCAACAGCTTCTATGGCTGTAGCTGGAGGAGGAGCGTTCTTTTCTTCCTCAGCGCGTTGTTGTCGTTTTTCTTTTCTAGATTTCGCCGCAGCTGCTTTAGAAGCTTCGAAAATGTTGCTTGCATTATTGCAAGCGTTTAAACCTGCTGCTTTCTTAGCTGCTTCCTTCTACAAAAGAAACCAATTTGGTAAAAGATCCATGAGTGAACACTTACAATGCACCATCAAAGGGGCGTATTCCGGGAACGTTCTTCCCACAATGGTTACACCACACCATAGCTCCAAACTTGGCTTATACTAACACAGATTTGAGGGTTGAATCGATTCGAAACAACAACAGCTTCCAATCTTACTGCTCAATAAAGAGAAGATCATTACATGGAGTTAACCAATTTTTTATATATGAACCCAATTTCCATTAACCAAGCTGGTAAGGTGGAAATCTTATTGGCAAGCAAAAATATCAAATTGATGAATGAAGTCAAAAACCCTAAAGGAAGGAAGTTGTTAATTCTCACCATACAAGGTCAGAAAGTCGACGGCTTAATAAGGGTTTTTGTTTTTTGGACGGTCTGTCTGGATTTGATCAATGACTGCTAAGATATTACAGTTTCCTTTTTAAAGGCGGTGTTTTCGTCCACTTTGTTCCATACTCGAAGATCTCTCAGGCAGCCCAAGACCGACCGCCTTCTTGTTTCGGGAAACAGATTATGCAGACTCAAAAACAGAGGAACATCTAACAATTCCTGAAACATAACAGAGCGAAACAGAGACATCACAATCGAATTCGATCTTTCATGGAGTTAAACGTTTTTCAATATCGATTTCACCCAATCGCATGTGAGCAGACCATATCGGTCCACCCATGTTATATTTCTTCCCGGTTCAATCTCGCTGGTAGATTAAACCGAAATAACCGGTTTTCAATTAAAGCTTTCAGGTTAATTTCAGTGAATCAATAACAAAACATTCTAGCTACAAAATCTGTTTAGTGTTTCGATTAAACAAGAAAAAATTAAAAAAATTACGTGTTTGATCCATTTTTATATATTAATAATGTGACAAAGACCTGAATGAAATGTTAGACCTGAACAAATCACGTGTTAAGGTAATATTTTTTGGATAAATGTTTCAAGGTAATATATGTAATTTATATATTAAATGAATCTAGTTTATCTTATTCGCTAGTATATCTTCTAATGAATTTTACTTGATTGTAGTGTGTGACGATAATGAAACGTGGACTGCGAGACCGTAAGCATTTAATAGTTTAGTCTCTTTTTTTTTTTAATTTAATATGGTTTGTATTGATTTTTTAAAAAAAAATTGCAGATTTGGTGGTGGTATTAAACATTGTCCGAATTACAAGGTCAGAACCGAAAAAGACGAAGGCTGTCTCCATATGATTTGTAAAGCTAGCAGATGCAGTCTGGTAAATTGTCTCTATTTACTTCTCTGTCTTTTTCTTTGGGATACAACAGAATCATGGAAGATCTCAAAAACTCGCTGGCTGAAGTCTATCAACGCATTGGAGTCTGTCATCATTTGTTCTCGGAATAGAAATGCTATTATTGTATCATAGACATTGAACTTGCACTAAAAGTGCCCAGACTGCTTCATCACTTATTTGATGTCTTGCATAGGGGAATCACATTTGGAGCGTTTCAGGTGTAACATCGACGTGGCGTACTACAAAACCATTAAGGCAAGTATAAAATGTTTTCCATATGACTCTCGGATGAAGATAAATTTTATGATAACACTTTGTTTTATATTTGCAAGGTTTTGTCGGTTACCCTCATTGTAGTACATATATTGGCCTTGAGAATCCAAGTGGGGCAGTTACACACACTTATGCTTGTGGGTCTTGCTCCAAGACATTCAGTCCCCGCTAATGCATTCACACAATTAATGGAAAGAAAAAACTCGGCAAAAAAAATATTTGCTTCAATTTCGTTTTTTCTTTGTTCTTACATATGCTTTTGAGAGTTTATCCTTCTCTCATCCAAATTCATAATAGACATTACATATTTTTGTTTAATATTAGCTTAATAGTATTTATGTTCTTTATCAAAACTTTTAGTCAATTGTCAATCGTAGTAAATATACCAATATAATTAAATCTTATATAAGGAGTTATGTATTTGTTTACCACAAAAATAATGTTATTTATTTACCAAAAGTTTTTATAACAAGTTAATAAAATATTTTGAAATCAATTACCAAATTTTCTTTATCATAAATAACATTTTTTTCCTTCTTGAATGCATTTAGACTAAAGTTTTACTCTTTTTGATGAAAAAAAAAAGTTTTACTCTTTTCATTTCATATTCACCTTTTTAATACTACTAAAATATTCAGTCAACACACTGTAATTTTTTTTTTGATGAAAATATCTTTGCATTAAATTAAATGGGTCAAAAACTTACTGTATTACAATAAATAAGCCAACTTTAGTGGTTGGGCTTTAGATCCAATAAACATAAATTAAAAGAACTGTATAACGAAACCCACTAGAAATAAGAACCCAATTTGAACCCATAATGAAGACAACCCACCAAAGAATGAAGATCAAAGCAACGAAATCAATTTCAGCACCAAATCGATACATAGAACGCAGACCAAACTCGATATCGACGCATGTATCAAACTGGTGCCTGAGCAAATAAACCGAACTGAATGTACCGAAGCAAAACAACCGAACCGAACCGAACCAAAATTTTGAAAATAACCGAATAGATAGTAAATTTAATAACCGAAATAACCGTAACCGAATCGGTACCGAACCGAAATATTTCGGGTAACCGAAATATTCGAAATACAGTTATATTTTTAAAATAATTAGTTATTTATAGACCAAATAATCAAAAATACTTGAAAAATATGTAAAAATAGTTAAAATACTCGAAAATAACCGAAATATATCCAAAAATATCCGAAAATACTTAAAAATAACCGAAATATCCGAAAATATCCTAAGCAAAATAACCGAATGGATATTAAATTTTAAAATCGAAAGAACCGGAACCGAACCGAAACCGAACTGAAATTTTAAAATATCCGAATGGATCCTAAATTTTGAAACCGAAAGACCCGAAACCGAATGGACCCAACCGATAACCGAATGGTTAACCGAAAGCCCAGGGCTACTGGTACAGGTAAAGCTAATAATAAGTCAGACGACTGAATATTGCATGCGCTGTGTAGCGAAAGTTCATGGGCTTAATAGTCCGGATAATTTATACTGGGCCGATCTAGTGATATATGTTTTTTTCTCATCATCTAAACTCAAGCCGTATATTGTCGGCCGGATGTGCATCATCATGAATCTAATAAAAATTAAGTTTATAGTATAACATTTTTCACTTTTAACGGTATTTGAAATTTTTTTTTTTATAACACAGTATCCAGACCACACTGTGATCCGACTAGTCCACTGGGACTAAGCCCGCGTGCCTGGGATTTTTAAGCCTCCACTTAAGGACCCCCGGAACTGGTGGTCTAGGACGCGGCGTCCCGCAAGTAAATTGCACAGTGGCCGGGACTCGAAGCCGGGTGGCGGGTGCCTCAGCCGAGATTCCTTTACCACCAGGAGACAAGCATCCGGTTCGGTATTTGAAATCTCCAACTCATATACAAATTAATTCTTTTTCTTTTTGTTAAAAGGCTTTATACAAATTAATTCATGGGACCTTCCTTGACGTTTTTATCTTAAGATAAAATAAATAAAATTTATTTCAGTAAATCGTCATGACGAACCTGATTTACGCCAAGTTTTACGTTCATGAGATTATTTTCAAACACGTTAAGAACTTTTTAAATGTTTTCAACCGTGCGATTAAAATTCAACGACCAAGCAATCCACCTTTAACGGCTACATTAGCGTACAAATATCGCTATCAATATAATTCCAAATTACCTTGATTTAGGGGGAAATAATAATTAATACGACACCGTATGATGCAGCCACATATAAACTATGGCTATAACTGTTAACCGTAACGTAGGATCCACTTCGAAATAAAACAAAACAAAAAAAGGAAAGACTTCACGTTTCTTATAGTACTTTTAGACAAAGTAACACGTGGATTAATACAGTTGGGCAAATTAGAGTTTTTCACGGGATTTGATCAATCTATAACTACTATATAAGTCGTCCTTATTAGCTACTTAATATTATCATTTATCACAATGGCTATTCTTTTCGTAGAGCGATATTACATGATCATGAACTTACTCTGTGCTCTAACTTGTCTCCTGTTAAACTTAACTCATTGCTTTAGCCCCAAGAAACTCAACATTTCAGCCGCCACGACCAGCGATTCTGATTGGTCTATTGCCGGAGCTACGTGGTATGGCAGCCCCACCGGATACGGAAGCGACGGTATATATATACATATATATGTTATGTCAACTAGCTATATATTTAATTAATTACTAACCACGATATATTGATGATAATGAAGGTGGAGCTTGTGGTTATGGAACTGCCGTGGCACAACCTCCGTTTTCGAGCATGGTATCAGCAGGCGGTGCGTCGTTGTTCAAGTCAGGGAAAGGATGTGGCGCATGTTACCAGGTTACTAATTACAATAATTTAGCACAAGAGATTGAAAATAAACGAAAGATTAGCTTATATACTGATTTATTTACGTACAGATAAAATGCACTTCGAAATCTGCATGTTCGAAAAATCCTGTTACGATAGTCATCACAGATGAATGTCCTGGATGCGTTACAGAGTCGGTCCATTTCGATTTGAGTGGTACAGCGTTTGGTGCCATGGCGATTTCTGGTAAAGATAGTCAGCTTCGCAATGCAGGAGTTTTGCAGATTCTTTATAGAAAGTATGTATCTAAGGATTTCACATTAACAAATATAACTACAACGTTATTAACTTATTATATACTAATTACTAAGGTTAGACTTTGTGTTTCATTGTGTTTTTTTCTTGTAGAGTTGAGTGCAACTATGTTGGCAAAACGGTGACGTTTCAAGTGGATAAAGGTTCAAACGCTTACTACTTTGCGGCTTTAGTTGAGTATGAAAACGGAGACGGCGAAATTGGCCGAGTCGAACTCAAACAAGCTCTAGATTCTGACACGTGGCTGTCTATGACCCAATTATGGGGTGCCGTGTGGAAGCTCGACGTGTCATCACCTTTGCGTGCCCCGCTGTCTCTCCGAGTGACTTCGCTGGACTCCGGCGAGACTGTTGTCGCTTCCAATGTCATTCCGGCAGGCTGGCAACCCGGTGCGATATACAAATCGAACGTCAACTTTCAAGTTTAGCTAGAACTAAATTAGTTATATAGTAGAAATAATATCTCTTACTTAAATGTTCAATTCCGTACGTGTGGTGGCACAATAATATTAGGTCAAGAACCAAAGAGTTGATCTTGCTCTAACCTACAGCCGCCAGAATTGGATTTTGCTGTTGCGTAAACAATGCGAATTCGATTCTAGTGTCTGCAAATGTTTGTTCATTTGACTTTTGGTTTATACAGAATACATGTCTTATGTGGTAGGTTTACGCCTTTATACAGAAAACTTGTATCCAGGGTGATAAACATGATTAAAAAATAAAAGGATTTTAAGCTAATGTATATGTCCATAGGCGAATTAAATATTCATTAATGAAAAAAATATTGTGACTTGTATAAAGATGTTTTTGCACAAAAAAAAAAATATAAGGATGTTTTAATTTAGGGTTTGTAATTTCATTCACACAATTGATGGAAAAAAAACACTCGGCAAAAAAGTATTCGCTTCAATATCATTTTTTCTTTGTTCTTATATATGCTTTTGAGAGTTTACCCTTCTCTCATCCAAATTCATAATAGCCATTACATATTTTTGCTTAATATTTATGTTCTTTACCACAACTTTAGTCAATTGTAGTAAAATACTTTCAAATTGATTAATTAATTTAGTAAATTGGTCATACAAAATGAAATATATATATACCAATATAATTAAATCTGATATAAGAAGTTATGTATTTGTTGACCACAAAATAATGTTATTTATTTACCAAAAGTTTTTATAACAAGTTAATAAATTATTTTGAAATCAATTACCAAATTTTTTTTTTTTTTTTTTTTTTTTCTTGAATGCATTTATCTTTTAGACTAAAGTTTAAATGCTGTCAAAAAAAAAAAAAAAGACTAAAGTTTAAATTTTTTCATTTCAAATTTACCTTTCCTGTAGAGGATTGGAGAGCTTGACTTCCATAGATACAAAGATTCACTTATATTGCCAATATACAATTTCCTAAACGTTGAACGCATTCGTGAGAGTATTCCAAAAAAAAAACCATTATAAAAAGCTCATCATCTAATGAATCAAATTCACAAATACCTTTAAATATATATATATATATAAATTGTTTATACAAAACAAAGTAGCTAGATCAATGGCATCATCATCACATAGATACTTCGCAATCGTAGCTCTTTTAGCAGTCTCACTAAAGTTTTGTTATTGCCAAAATGAGACTATAGATGTTGCTGCATGGGGGACCGCCGGAGTTACTTGGTACGGTGAACCTCTCGGCGCCGGTAGCACCGGTACAAAATAATATATCATATTTGTAACAATATATGTATATGCACATAATTTGTAGAATAGTAAATTATTTTATATGATGCTTAAATGTGTGTAGGAGGAGCTTGTGGGTACGGTTTCGCGGTGGCTAATCCACCACTATATGCGATGGTTTCAGCCGGAGGTCCTTCATTGTTCAACAATGGAAAAGGATGTGGAGCATGTTATCAGGTTCGTATGAATGTATATATATAGAGCAACATCAATAGTAATAATTTTTTTTTTTTTTTTGTGTGCAACATCAATAGTAATATATGTAACATAGAATTAATGCCTTTTTGTCAGCTGAATTAATGCCTTTTTCCCTTTTTAGGTATTATATTAGTATAGTATTTCAGCTAAGAGGATACTTTTGGTTTGCAAAAACAATTTGACATAGCATGCAAGTCTGAATGTATATTATATGGTTACAAAACAAGATTTTACTTTTATCAACTATATATATTGTATATGTTAACTTTTTTTTTATATATATTAGATTGTATGCAGCGAGAATCCAGCGTGTTCGGGGAGACCAATAACAGTGACGATAACCGACGAGTGCCCTGGTGGTCCTTGCGCCTCTGAACCAGCCCACTTTGATCTTGGCGGCAAAGCCATGGGTGCCTTAGCCAAACCTGGCCAAGCCGATCGACTTCGATCCGCTGGTGTTCTACGTGTTAACTACAAACGGTACAATTATTTACTTAAAGAATTTTTGTTTTTCGGTTTGAGTTTTTTTTTATTAAGTTATTTATGTATTTATTTACTTAATATATATAGTAATTGAAGAGAAACCATGATCAGTTTGTTATGTTTTCATGTATTTAAAAACAATTGTGTTAGATTTTACTAACAATTGTGTAAAAAGAAGATAAAATTAAAAAAAAACTGATAAGTAAATTAAAATTAGGTTTTCACTTATTATTATTTATACAAAAATTCTTTTCAATTAAAACATTTCTCAAATATGAATATTTTGTTATTCAACTATTTCTATGATATACCAATCAAAATCTTTTTTTTTTTTTTTTTTTTTTTTTCAAAATCTTGACTATTGTTTTTTTTTTTTTTATCAGCGCGGCATGTTTATATAGAGGAACTAACATAGCTTTCGGTATGGATCCTGGAGCAAATCCATACTACATTGCATTTGTTGTCGAGTATGAAGACGGCGATGGAGATTTGTCCTATGTTGAACTTCAACCAGCCGGCGGAAATTTCATCCCCATGCAAGAAATGAGGTCCGCCGTATGGAAGGTCAACTCTGGCAGTGCTCTAAAAGGACCATTCAACATCAGACTTACTTCTGCTGAATCTCATAAAGTAGTCGTCGCTTATAATGTTATTCCGGCGAATTGGAAACCTAGTGAAACTTACCGTTCCATTGTTAACTTTAAGTAGAGTTTTATCTTTGCCATATTGTAATTCGACACATTTCATTGTTTTCTCTAGTCAAACTACAACATATAGAAAGCTTATGATATAGTAATGAATAATAAAAAGATATACTATGATTTACCATTATGATCCCATATATATTATATTTTTTGCCATTTTTTGATAGGGGCTTTTTTCATTAAAAGAATTGATACTAAAATTCTTTTATCCACTAAAACAATCAGTTATTATAGCTATATAGAGTTCTACCTGCCTTTCTTTTTCTGTCAAAGAGTAATTATCAAGTTCGTTAAAAGGCATTTCATCAATGATCAAAAAAGGAAACGAAAAGAAAAGAAAAGAAAAGAGAGAGGTTTACGAAGACCAATCCATCAACCTATCTATGCAATAAATCTTAAGAGATTAGCCTATTCAATTCAAATGATCGAACTATGATAAATCTCTAATGGGCCTATATATTAATGGGCTTTTCTTATGCAAGTTGAGAGGCATGGAATGTTACCCAACATGAAATGTCCAAAAACTCGTAACTAGGCCTGGGCTTTCGGTTAACCGTTCGTTTATCGGTTGGGTCCATTCGGTTTCGTTTTTTTCGGTTTCAGAATTTAGTATCCATTCGGATATTTTGAAATTTCGGTTCAGTTTCGGTTCGGTTCCGGTTCTTTCGGTTTTAAAATTTAGTATCCATTCGGTTATTTTGCTTAGGATATTTCGGTTATTTTGAGTATTTTCAGATATTTTTGGATATATTTCGGTTATTTTCGAGTATTTTTACTATTTTTCAAATATTTTTGATTATTTGGTCTATAAATAACTAATTATTTTGAAAATATAATTGTATTTCGGGTATTTTGGTTACCCGAAATATTTCGGTTCGGTACCGATTCGGTTACGGTTATTTCGGTTATAGAATTTAGTATCCATTCGGTTATTTTCAAATTTTCGGTTTGGTTCGGGTTTTTTTGTTTCGGTTTCGATTCGGTTTATTTGCCCAGGCCTACTCGTAACATCGAATACTCACGCCACTTTTCAGGCGACCTGGAGAACCGGCGATACTTGTCGTCACTCCCTCCATTGGCAACTTTTAAAGTTTTTTTTCCCCATTTTAGTGGTGACTCATTTCTTCAATACTCAATCAAATATTAAAGAAGGTAATAAATAACAACGTATGAGCCCAAGTGATCTATATATTGCAATTATGTTTTCTCTAAATTTTACGTCTCTTAGTAGTTGACTTTATCAAGAGTATTGCTACTTTAATCGACCAATTTTATTAACCTATGTATGAAAAAAAAGCCACTACCATCTGAGTAAGGATGTAATATGCTGAGAAATGACAATATTAAACAAGTAACACATATGCTTGCATATACTTAGCTAATAATAAATTATTAAATTCGAAGTTCTAAACTCTAACGAGACGAGTCAACGGAGGAATTAAAGGAGTTTTAAAGTTTTTTTTTTTTCCTTTAAAAGAGAGAGTGGCGTAAGTGGTTTGGCACCACCATTAAGTCATGCCATTGAAGAATAAATCGCAACTTTACACTTTGCGTAGACGAATTGCTTCCACAAATTTGGTTTAAAAATTTTCCAAATTTCAGTGACAACCAAAAAAAAGTCTTTGTGTGTGTTAAATTACCTTCCAATGTAAGTTTTTTTGAATGCATTTGTAACCGACAAATTGTGGAACGTTGAACTTTAATTTGTATAAATATTTGTGACCTCTCTCAAAGTACTAAATACTAATTGTAGTTACACAAGTAAGACTTAAAACTCCAATGCGTGTGCAAGTTTATTTTTGCACTTATGGAAATTCGAATGATCAGGTTCGATGAATTGAAAAAAATCACATGATCGTCGTTGTGTGCGTCGTTGATCACGTTTAATACAGTCAATTTTAGTGAGGTAGGTTCGTATTAAACCAATGACATCAATTTTAGTGGGTCCAAAGTTAAATGCGTTTGTAGCTTAATAATTAGACTTCATTTTGGTTACTCTAAGTAAAACATACACTTTGACAAAAACAATTAAGCTCACATCTAATCTTCGATTTAAGTTAATATGTGATTCTATCTAAATAGACTTTAGTTGGTATTTGTTTGTTCTTTTGTTGAACAAGAACGTGTGGCAGTGTTATAATTGATAAACGAAAATTATGCACTATTGACTTTTTCTTAGTATTATCTCTAACTTCGAAGATCCAAAATCAAAGGAGAAATCCCCTAACACATTTCTTTTGCATTCATAATCGTTTTATTCGAGTGATTAGTGGAAATATATTAAAGATTAGATAATCAGATGTTGTTAAGCCGGCTTTTAACTAGCTAAGGAGATACCGTCACTGACAGTTGGCGAAACCTATCAAAAGAGAAGAGGCCAAGCAGAATCTGAACTTTTTCTTTATTTATTATTTTGATTTTTTTGGTTAACATTTAGAGAGATAAAGTTACTGGTGGGTGATGATAAGTTGTGAAACCGTCGTTATGAATAACTACGTGGCTGTCACAAACTGAAACAAAAAATGACAGCCATAAAAATGTTAACATTCTCCCCTCATTTTTGGACAACGCTTTGTTCTGTTCCGACTCGTTTACAACAACAAAAACTTTCTTTAGTGACGTGAAGTACCGAAAATACCCTTGGTGTGGGATATGGTAAAAGTAATTAATTTTGGCGCATTGAAATTAAAGCTCCGCTGAAAATAGACAACTAAGACGCGTTGCGTCTGATATTTCGGGTGTTAATATAGAAATTTTGCTATTTTTATCCCATTGATCAGAAGGGTATTTTCGGAAAGTTTTAAGAGAGTTTTTTTTTTTTTTGGGCAGAAACGGGCAAAGTTCGCATGTTACATTGTCCTTTCTTCACCATTTCATGGCAAACGCTTTAATTAGATTATTTCAAAAAACCATATTTACTCTTCCGTTTCAAAGAATTTTATAAATATAGGGGAGAGAGAAGAAAGGGAAGTTAAAAAAACAAAATTAAATAAAAGAATTTAAGTTTATTTGTTTTGTTTTGTTTTGTTTTTGTTTGTCTTCGTCTTCTTCTTAGTTCGTTGGTTGTAGAAGAAGAATGCTTTTGTCACCTACTCTCCTTTGTAGTTTCTCTACTCTTTGTTCTCTCTTCTTTGGGATATAAACCCAAAAAGCTCTCTCTCTCTCTCACTCTCTCTCTCTCTATCTCTGTTCTGTAAATTTGTCGTTGTTGAAGATGGAGAGATACAAGTGTAGATTTTGCTTCAAGAGCTTCATCAATGGAAGAGCTTTAGGTGGTCACATGAGATCTCACATGCTTAGTCTTTCTGCAAAACGTGAACTTTATGAATTAACTGGTGAAGAAGCAGAGGAACGCCCGAGTCAACTCAGTGACGACGACGATACAGAGTCAGATGCTTCTTCTTCTGGTGAGGAACAAGATCATTTGAATTGTGGTGAGTTTGATAATCTAAAGATGAATCTTCTTGATGATGAATTGGAGTTTGATTTCGCTGAAGACGACGACGACGTTGAAAGTGAAACCGAGTCGTCGAGGATTAACCCAACTCGCCGACGATCTAAGCGAACTCGGAAACTTGGATCGTTCGATTTCGACTTTAAGAAGCTAAAAACGAGCCAACCCAGTGAGTTAGTGACGGAGCCAGAGCATCACAGCTCAGCTTCTGATACAACAACGGAGGAAGATCTCGCCTTTTGTCTCATTATGCTCTCAAGAGACAAATGGAAGCAACAGAAGAAGAAGAAGCAACGTGTAGAAGAAGAAGATGAGACAGATCATGACAGCGAAGATTACAAGCCGGACAAGAACAGAGGTAGATTCAAGTGTGAGACTTGTGGTAAAGTGTTTAAATCGTATCAAGCATTAGGAGGACACAGAGCAAGTCACAAGAAGAACAAGGCATGCATGACGAAAACAGAGCAAGTTAAAACAGAGTACGTTCTTGGAGCCAAGGAGAAGAAAGTTCATGAATGTCCGATTTGTTTTAGGGTTTTTACTTCAGGACAAGCACTTGGAGGTCATAAGAGATCTCACGGAAGTAACATCGGAGCAGGAAGAGGATTGTCAGTAAGTCAAATTGTCCAAATCGATAAAGAAGAAGAAGAAGTATCAGTGAAACAGAGGATGATTGATCTTAATCTTCCTGCACTTAACGAAGAAGATGAAACCTCTTTGGTGTTCGATGAATGGTGAAAACGAAAGGTAACAACAGACTTTGCGTGATTCGGGTTGTCAAAATTTTAAATCTTTTTTCGTTTATTATTATTATTCTTTGTTTTTTGTTTTTTTGGGGTTTGGTCAAATTTTATGTTAATGCAAAGGAGGCTACTTTTACATGTTCTAACGCCAAGTTGTTTCAGTACTAGCCTCACGTCGTGTTGGCCTAAATCAGAGAGCATTCAATTTTCTTTAGTTTTTTGTTTGTTAGACTTTTTTAAGGTAAATCGTAATTGTATCAATTTCTTGGTTTCTCTGGCAATTTTAGGTATTACTGTTTAAATTTAGAAGCTAGAGAAGTAAGAGTGCCCACTTCATCTATATCTCTTTCGCCCACTATTAGGGGATTAAAAAAAAAACTCAAATCTAAAAAGAGAAGAGAAACAAACTTTATAGTTTCTATATCATTTTCACTGTAGAATCAAATTTGGCCTTTGGCTTTGGGTTTTGAGCTATACCACCTACTTAGAATTATTCTTCACGTATACTTTATTCTTTACTTATGATTGGAAACAAACCCAATGGCTTACGTTGGTAATCACCACTCAAGACTCAATAGATATCATCAACAAAGTTGTGATTCAAAGTTGTTGTGATAGTTCAACTAGTGTTATCAGTTAATCACGCAGTTTGGTGGCTACTTACTAGGATTTGATGTTTACATATTAAAATCGTTAATCCATTTTTTGCTTGGTGGCTAATCACTATGTTTTTTTTATAATAAAACTGTGTGATTCGAGAGTATTTTATCTTCTTCATTTTGGGGATAAAATACTCTAGAAATAAGCATTTTATCAAATATTTGAATGTCGAAAAATCTATATATATATATAAAACCATTCTTATCTCTTATGTTGTTTCATTTGTTAGACCACAGTATAACATTTGACATTAGCTAATGAAAGACGTCAGCTCGTATCGATTTATAGATTTCCTAGCCGATGTCAATACTAGACTTCAATCCCAACATGATGATCAATCTTCAAATTCCCAATCAATGACGTCACTTATGATAACGTCAATTTTATTAGTTATTTTTATCTTTTGAAAAAGAAAATTTCTAAGTTAACATGGCTATAGTTCATGGAGTTTTATTTTATGGACTCATCTAGTGATGAGTTTGTAGTATTTGGGCCTTGAAACAACAAGCCTATTTTAATGGGTTTTGTGCTAAACCTACTTTCGTTTGTCCTCATTCCTCAAGAGTCTTTTTTTTCTTTGCTAAGAAACCAAACCATAGATGCTTGATTCTCTTGGAATCTTTGAATTCTCTTTGTCATAAGACTTTATGAAGATCTCATTAATTACCATTTTAACCCTAAAATCTGGTCACGGGTCTAGGTCATTTTAGTCACTTTAATCTCTAATCTCACAAACGTCCCGGCAAATTCTTCCTTTCTTTCTGCTCGACGGTCTCTCGAGGACGCGACTCACAGTCACATCAACAGCATGCATTCATAAAAATAAAAAACAAATGGATTAATCGAGGAATCAACCTAAATTCTATAGTTTATACCTTGAAAAACGATAGCATGAAATCAGCAAACACATGTAATATACCAAACATACCATAAAAGGTCCGGTCAAAAATAGAAAAACACAAAAAAATAATTATAAAAAAATCAAATATAAGACTCAAAGAGAAGTTAGAGACCGAATATGCCAGAGGATTTTAATCTTTTTTTCTACATCAACACAACAACAACAATAATCTAACCTTTTTATTTTCTTCATCTCTTTATTACATGCCACATTCACAACACTTCGTCACGCCAAAGCTAAGCATATCCTCTTTCATATTCTTTTACACAACCACTATTTATATATCTCTATATTACTCTCTTTCTTCTTCCTCCATTATCAAATGTAATAAATTTCATTTTAACTAAAAGAAAGAAAATAAGATAAGAATTTGAGGTTTTATATTTTGATGAAGTTCGGGAAGAGGATTAAAGAACAGATACAAGAGTCGTTGCCGGAGTGGCGAGACAAGTTTCTCCGTTACAAGGAACTCAAGAATCTGATCTCTTCTCCGGCGCTGGCGGAATCTATTTTCGTTGGTTTGTTGAACGCAGAGATCGACAAATTTAATGCTTTCTTCGTGGAACAAGAAGAAGATTTCATCATCCACCACAAGGTATAACAAAAAAAAAAACAGAGAGATTGTTCTTCTTGAGTTTACCTAGTCAACTGATCTAACTATAAAGTGTTTTAACCAACCACTGATCTAATAACTTTAAGAAGTGTAGGAGAAATAATTCGTTTTTATTGGTTGATACGAAAATATTATAACTGTAAAATGTGCAATCGATCTAAGGAAATTTTCAACAGAGTGGTATTTAATTGATTTCTTAATTTTTTAAAAAAGTGAGACATATAAAAATCATCCAATTAAATAGTTTTTAGCAGTCTGTCTCTCTAATATAGAAATTTGGATTATTATGTGTAATCTGGAGAATTATTTAGTTTTAATTGTATTTTTTTTTTGTGGAAGTTTCTCTACATATATTATAAACTAAAAATGTGAAATCACTTTGCACACATTTTTAGTAGAGTGGGATTTAATTAATATGATTATATGAAACAAAATTTGCAGGAATTGCAATCTCGAATTCAGAGATTGGTTGAGAAATGTGGACACAATGATGAAATGTTTAGAGAGGAGATTAGTGAGATCAGAAAAGATATTGTCAATTTCCACGGTGAAATGGTTCTTTTAGTAAACTACAGTAACATCAATTACACTGGTGAGTGAGTTACCACATTCTTTTTCAAAAAATGAAATTATCATAATCTGATCGGAAAAATATGTATCTATAGGATTAGCAAAGATTTTAAAGAAGTACGACAAGAGAACAAGAGGAGGTTTAAGATCACCGTTTATTCAGAAAGTTCTTCATCAACCGTTTTTCAAGACTGATCTTGTTTCAAGACTAGTGAGAGAGTGGGAGACGACAATGGACGCGGTGTTTCCCGTGACGGTGGTGGAGGCGGAGGCGGAGAGATGTGCGGCGGTTACTTCTGCAGCGGCGGGAGTAGGGATATTTAGGAATACCGTTGCGGCATTGTTGACAATGAAAGAGATGAGAAGAGGAAGTTCGACTTATAGTGCATTCTCACTACCACCGCTAAATATCTCCGATTCCGATCTGTCTTCTCCTATACATATTCCTTGATGTTGTGGTCGCTCACCTGTCTTGAAATCCATAAGTCTAGTCAGCTTAATTACACGGAAAATGGCATTACCGTAATACTTGTACATACACTTTGATCTCTCCCTCCCACCTTGACCTTATATATTCCTCCTGATCTCCCAAGCCAGACAATTTGATCCAGGAACAAGTATGTAGATAAAAGTGCGTTCTTCGACTGAAAATAACAACAAAGATTGGTACAGAACAAGGATATAAAACAAGGGGACTAAGAAATCTTTGTATGAAACACTGAGCTTTGAGCTCTAAAGCACATACCTTTCCAAGTAAAACAGGAGGAAGAAGAGTCCCTTTAGGCACAGGACTGATGAGACCATGCAAGTCATTCACAAACTGCAATAATGATGATATTTAGTTAATTAGCAAAGAGACTCTAATCAAAATCAAAACAGCAAAAAAGGATTAACCTTGAAAAGACGAAAGACTTTTCTGGCTAAGCTAGTAGATTTGTCAACATTTTGAGCAGTACCAGGTTGTCCACCACTCAAGAACTTGGAACCATACTGTAGTATAGCTCTGCATAACTTATCCCTTGCCTCTGTTTTGTTCAGATACATATACATTACCACAAGTGCTAGCTCTGCTCTTGATATCGTCCCCATCCTACTAATCAAATTCCAAAATATCTACCACTTTCACAAGACAGGAGGAAAATTGGAAAATTCTACTACTTCCGAAAATATCTCAATTTCGGATTTAAAATTGAAAGAAATCAGATCTGGAAATCCGATGAAAGTATTTTGATGTGGAAATTCATATACTTTATGTATGTAGTATTATAAAATTTGGTTTGGTTTCACGTTAGTAAATTTGTGTGATTGAACCGAATAAACTTTTATTAACAATGGTCGAGAGGGTAAATGGAAATATTCTCGGAAACAAACATTGATGATTCCATTATTTTATCCCCAATTTGGTTTTATTCTTCTTCTTTGCTCGAAACCCTAATCATCGCCATGTTTTCCTACTTTCGCTCTGCAGGCGATAAGATTGTCGAGACATTCCAAGGCAAGTCCCACCTTTTTCTTCTATTTCTCTCCCCTCGGAATTTTCAGTAGAAGAGAGAGATTGATTGTTAACATCTTTACCTCTGGATTCGATTTGTATTTTGCAGATCTTGGCTACTTTGAAAGAAATGAGATCAGTAATGTCAAAGCTAAAAACTAGGATCGTCATCAAAGAATCTTAAGGAGTCGATGGTTTCATCTTCATCAGAGAGTCGAACCACGACTACAGGTCAGAATCGACTAGTTTTCTTTTCTCTTTTCTGGTTTTGATCTGATCTCCTCTCATACGGTTTTTTTTTTTTTTTTTTTAAAGTAACTTGAATTACGTGTTTCATTTGCTCCGATTTCGTTCTAAATCGCGTGTAATTCTTTTCTATCAAATCAGAATTAATAAATTAGGATTGATTCCGGTTATGTATGGCTAATTTGAATTGAAAATAGAATTGTTAAAATTATTAGTCCGTATCTTTTCAGCTATAGAAGATATTCAGAAGAAGCCTCTTATTGCTATTCAATGCCGTAGATGCTTATCAGACTCTTCTCCGGTAGTTATCGTCAACCCTTGCGACCACAGATTCTGCGGTTAGATTCTTCTTTACTCTAAATAATGTGACTCAGAGGATCTTTTTAGCTTTTTCTTATTTTTTGACTGTCAGAACACAAACCTTGATTCTGGATTAGCCTCTTCTGGGTGGTGTTGATATCAATCAATTAGCCTTAAACTTGTTTTTTTTTTTAATGCAACAGTGAAATGTATCTTATTCCTCTGGTCACGCCAGAAACAGAGAGAACCTTGTGTGTGTCCCCTTGATGGAGAAAAGATTATCCTTTATTCTTTTTTTAATCTTTATTAATCACTTCACCTCTTTAATCAATTGAACATGCTCTAATAATCTTAGTATGGTTTTTCAAACTCTCTGCTTACGAACATTATGTTGTTTCTTCTTTCAACGGAAAATCGTTATGCATTTTTAGGACATGGCCGAGGCACAACTTGGTAAGTTCCTTGATCTATGCTATATATATATCATGTATGTATGGTTTTGGACTTTGTTTTGTTGAACTTAACTCTTTTAGTCACACGTTTTTGTAGTGCGGACATTTACACGGTTTTACACTTTTACTGTGCGGATCTGACTCTTATAATCTTGGGGGCAATTGCGTACTATTTCAAGATTAGCAAGTCTAAAGCGTCTGGCACTTAGAAGACATCAACTTTATCATCCACCTCTTTCCTACTTAGTTATATGTCTTGTGCCTTGAAGAACCAACTGTCTCTATTTTATTTCTCTTGGAACCTTTAAATTGACATTATGAGCATGTAATTAAACCATTTTGGTCACTCTCATCATCATCTCTACTCTCACATCTTTTTTTCTCCGATATCCATCCAATATTCCCTATTAACCTTGTTATTATTATCTATCAGTTTTGTTGATAAATAAATACAAATGTTGATATGTAGAATACGACCAATCGTTATAAGTAATTGTTTCGTTTTGCTGTAATTTGGCTCTATGTTTGTTTATTGAAGGAGAGAATAAAAAAAAAAAGAGACTTAGAGAGAAAGCCAAAATAAATTCTTTTTTTTTTTGGGCTGGTCAAAATAGAAAGAGAACGAATCAGAATGACTGTTATAACCCTGAAAACGCACCTTGAGAAAGCAGACGATTAAGGGCATAATAGTAATAACAATAAGTGAGTCTCCGGTCTAAATTAATTAATTAAGGAGAAACAAGACATACGTTGCTGTCCCACGTTGTTCTTTTGTTTACGTATTATATACTCTCTCTCTCTCTCCTCCTTCGTCGACGACCACCGGAGATCAGAGTCACCGTACCAAAACTTCATTTGCCTTCATAAAGATTTGTTTTTTTTAATCAATTGATTGAATCGGAATAAATATCTCAGCAGAAATGAGTAACGAGCTTCTCACCATCGATCCCGTTGACCTTCAATTCCCTTGTAAGCTTTTTTTCAATGATTCGCATATGTCTTAGATCTAACTTTTTCCGAATTAGTTTGATGATTTTGTGAATCTTTGTTTGATGTATAGTTGAATTGAAGAAGCAGATCTCTTGTTCTCTCTATTTGGGTAACAAGACCGATAATTATGTCGCCTTCAAGGTGATTTATTTCAGCTTTTGAATTTTTCTTAATTTTATCTTTGGAGATTTTTGTGTATATCTTAATGTTTGCAAGGTTCAATTTTTAAAGGTTAAGACGACGAATCCAAAGAAGTATTGCGTTAGGCCTAATACTGGTGTTGTTCATCCCAGATCCTCTTCTGAAGTTTTAGGTTTTGTCTCTTTCCTCTTCGTAATTGATCTCAATGGATAAAAGATGAACAACTTACTAACTAGTTTCGGTTTTTGTTTTGTAATTAGTGACCATGCAAGCTCAAAAGGAAGCTCCCGCTGATATGCAGTGTAAAGATAAGTTCTTGCTTCAATGTGTAGTAGCTAGTCCTGGAGCCACCCCCAAGGATGTTACTCATGAGATGGTATTTATTGATATTGTTTATTATCTGAGTACTTTCTGATTTGGAAGCTTTGGTTATTTAGCAATGTTTTATTGTGTAATGAACACTGCAGTTTAGCAAAGAGGCAGGGCATCGAGTCGAAGAGACTAAATTGAGAGTTATCTATGTTGCTCCACCACGACCACCATCACCGGTTCGAGAAGGATCTGAAGAGGGCTCTTCACCAAGGGCTTCTGTCTCTGATAATGGGAATGCTTCTGATTTTACTGCTGTAAGTATACATCTCTTGATTATACAGCCAAGAAATATACAACCTTTAACTAGAAGAGAGGGCTATTGTAGATGTTTCCTTTTTGTACTTTAGTTGATATTCTTGCATTATCCTGTTTAATTTTAGGCTCCAAGATTTAGCGCGGACAGGGTTGATGCTCAGGATAACTCATCTGAGGTAATTTTTTACCCGTCTGATACTTTCATGAAACTGAGCTACCTTGGCATGATAAAGAAGAGTGCATGAGTTTTATACCATTACGCTACCTACATTAGTTTACCATCCAAACCTATGGAATTCTCTTTTCTATCAGGTCGTTTAGAGCAGTTAGTCTTCTTTTGTTTAAGTTCAAATCATTCCAGTGATTAGCACCTTAATGGCTCGTTTATTTACACTGCTTGATGTGAATTTCTCAAATCTATTAGTCCTATAATCTTAAATCTTTTTGTTTATCACTGAAAATAATGCTTGCCTTGTTTAAAGCTTTAACCAATGTCTTAGCAGTGTTGAGTGCCTCAATACTGTGGTGCAGAGGAATATGGTTCCCTCTGCTGTAGTTTTAGCTTTTTACTAATCAGTTTATGCATGCAATTGCATTGGTCTAAGATGCAACAAACGTATTGGCTATTATTTGGCACAATTTACCTTTGAAGTTAGGAGACCTTAGTGGTCATTCTATTACATGTAATTTTGACACCTATTGATTTGAATGATATCAGGCAAGAGCATTGGTCACAAGACTCACCGAGGAAAAGAACTCTGCGGTTCAACTGAACAACAGGCTTCAACAAGAATTGGTAAGCAACTTTCACCTGATCCTTTGAACTATTCCTCCCGGTGGTTGTTTTAGGAATCAAAGAAAATATTTGTCTGCGATGGGTGATTGATGATTAGCAACATGGCAAGCACTTTCATAACTAGTTTCCCTGGTTTTAGAGAAGCAGCCGTGTTCTTGTTCATTGAGTAGTTAGGTTTAAGCTCAATTAAATCTTTATACCGTTAGCTTTTTTTTTGCGAAACAAGAACCTCTCGGATAACAAAAAGATTTAAAATTGCAGGACCAGTTGAAGCGTGAAAGCAAGAGAAGTCAGAGTGGTGGAATCCCGTTCATGTACGTTCTTCTGGTCGGACTAATCGGTTTAATCTTGGGATACATTATGAAGAGGACATGATCTGCTCGCTTCAACAAAATACTCCACAAGTCTCAAAAGTGCTTTAAAAGCATTGAAAAAGAAAGAAAATCAAATTGTGTGAGGAGGACAATCTTCTCTTCTACCTTATCATCGTCATGCACCTTCGGTTAAAATTCTGAACTTAGTGCGTTAGAGCATTTGTATTACGGTTTCCATAAGACTTAGAATTTTCACAAAATCTCCTTTTTCATCTCTCTTTTTACAACTTTGTGTAGACCAAAGACTTTTGTGTCCTTTATCTTCTCTCCACTAACTTTTTCTCTCCATCTCTAATAGAATAAATAAAAAGTGTTGCCTTCTTTACTGTTTTAGTGAGGATATGAAGTCTCTACTTAACTCAGAAGGTTCTGATTCTACCTAGCTACAATACAAAACTCGCCGAATGACACACACAAACACACTCTCTCCGACATGATGATGATTCAGAGATTTTGATTTTCAAGAAAACTCTCTTTTTCCTCTGTTTTTTTCCCTATCATTTTGAAAGCAATGGCGTCTTTTGCTGAACTTGTTTTATCAACTTCTCGCTGTACATGCCCTTGCCGTTCATTCTCTAAAAAACCCTTAATTCTTCCCCCTTTATCTGGTCTGCGTCTCGTCGGTGGTGATACCAAACCATTGTTTCGTTCCGGCCTTGGTCCGGTTTCTGTTAAACGGCGTTTCCTCACTGCCGTTGCTCGAGCTGAATCAGACCAGCTTGGTGATGATGACAACGCAAAGGTAATCACTTTATACTTCCTTCTCCTCCAATCTGTAACTCTAGAAGAAGCAATTTCCCTTATTCAACATTGACCGAGATGGAGAAACATAGAGAGATAGAAAGACTCAAATTTTAGCTTAATTGAGCAATGACTTGATAGTGTTTAGGAATGAGAATCAGCTTTATTGTTATCGGAATGTAGTAGGGATTTGATCATTGTCTAGTCAGTGAGCCTTCACTGATTCCTCAATTGGTCTTTCTCTTTCAGGAAATTGATAGAATCCATGACTTGCAAAATGTGGAAGATAAGCAGAAGAAACCAAGCCAGCTTAAGAAAAGAGTGATCTTTGGTATTGGCATTGGATTACCTGTTGGATGTGTTGTGTTAGCTGGAGGATGGTTTTTTACTGTAGCCTTAGCAGCTTCTGTTTTTATCGGTTCCCGCGAATATTTCGAGCTCGTTAGAAGTAGAGGCATAGCTAAAGGAATGACACCTCCTCCACGATATGTTTCTCGAGTTTGTTCGGTTATATGTGCCGTTATGCCCATACTTACACTGTGAGTTTAGCTAAAACACTCTACATCGAAGCTTGTCTTGTTATCCATGTGATCTGACTTCTCCTTAACAGATTTTATGAATTATCTTTTTAGGTACTTTGGTAACATTGATATATTGGTGACATCCGCAGCATTTCTTGTTGCAATAGCATTGTTAGTACAGAGAGGATCCCCACGTTTTGCTCAGCTGAGTAGTACAATGTTTGGTCTATTTTACTGTGGTTATCTCCCTTGTTTCTGGGTTAAGCTTCGCTGTGGTTTAGCTGCTCCTGCGCTTAACACTGGCAAGCTCTCGCCTTTTATATCTCTAAAGTTCAGTTTATTGAGGCAAAGTTCTCTACTTTCTCCTCCTACTTCAGATGTCCTTTTGACCACTTTTTTCCTTTTAATTCTATAGGTATTGGAAAGACATGGCCAATTCTTCTTGGTGGTCAAGCTCATTGGACAGTTGGACTTGTGGCAACATTGATTTCTTTTAGCGGTGTAATTGCGACGGACACATTTGCTTTCCTCGGTGGCAAGGTAATACCAATAATGATACCTCACAGATAAGTTTTTTTTTTCTATAACCGCTTTGAACTTGGTTTTAACTATAAAAGGTTGCAGGCTTTTGGTAGGACACCTCTTACTAGTATTAGTCCCAAAAAGACATGGGAAGGGACTTTTGTAGGACTTGTTGGTTGTATAGCCATTACCATTCTACTCTCTAAATCTCTTAGTTGGCCTCAATCTCTGTTCAGGTACTCAGAGATTTCGTTATATTGAACTCGGTTTCTCGTTATTTTTCTGTTTCTGAATTGGTTCATTTGTTTTTGGTTTCCTCAGCTCAATAGCTTTTGGGTTTCTTAACTTCTTTGGGTCAGTCTTTGGTGATCTTACTGAATCAATGATCAAGCGTGATGCCGGCGTCAAAGACTCTGGTTCACTCATCCCAGGACACGGTAATGTCACCCTTAATTGATCCATAAATCAATGCCATTCTTCTCACACCCGCTACCTCTTTCCTTCCCATGCTTGCAGGAGGGATATTAGATAGAGTTGATAGTTACATTTTCACCGGCGCACTAGCTTATTCATTCATTAAAACATCCCTAAGACTTTATGGAGTTTGATGAACTACCGGAAATACGATAACTTCGGTAAACTTACAAGCATTTCCACGATAAAATCTGGCAATGTAGCTGTGAAACAAACGGTGCAGTGTTCACTGTTGTTGCCATTGAGAGATGCAGAGGACTAGGAGGTGAAAGCAGAGCCGGTATGTTGCTTCTTGGTACGATGTAACAATCGGTGTGCGTTTGGTTTATGTTTGATAGTTGACCCAAAAGGGCAGTCTTTTGAGGTGCATAATTTGGTAGTCATACGAATTATTATTTTCATCTTTTAATGTTTAGATAAATTTTAAGCTTCTTAGGAACTCTTTATTCTTATGAAAAATCTATAAAGTTTGACTTTATTAAATTACCCTAAAACATGATTAATGCCGAATTGCAATTATTTTGATGGTGATGGACTGACAGGTCTACCACGACTCCATTCACGCTGCTCAATCCAGTTCGAACAATATATGTTTTTTTAGACAACACAGGGAGTTTTATATCTACAATTTTTACACATATCTCTACTACTAGATTTTGTTTTTTTGTTGGCTTTATGTTTTGTTTTTTTGTCACCTTTCTTATAAATTGGATAAAAACTAAAAAGAGGTCTTGTGAAAAGAAAACTAAAAAAAGAGGACTAAAATGATGTGGGGTTGATAGAGAATGCGTTGTTCCCAAGCAGACTTTATAAATTGAGTGGAAAAAGGAAAATTAATTTATTTTTAAAGAACCAAAAGAAAACAATATAAAGAGGAAAAAAAAAGAAGAAATGATTGGGAAGACGAAGACATTGGTGGAGCGAGCATCAGCCTAAGATTTTGTATCTATCAAAGTTTATTCCTTTCTTATGAATTGTCACAAAAAAAATTGGTAAACTTTAACCACATACTGTACATTTAAATATTTGTAAAACTATGGAAAAAGTAAAGTTATTTACGAATTTAGTTGTTTGCTGAGATTCTTATATTTTGTTTACTTTTCATGGAGATTGTGATATAAATAAAGGTGGTTCAAAATAGTAAGTTTTCACTTTTAACGCAAATTTACGAAATGTTAAGATTGTTATTTCTATAAATTTAATAAAAATTTTGAACGGAAATAAAAAAGCCATAGATGTAATATTTGTAAGCACGTAGGTGACTAGGTATGTGCATGAATCGGTGTTTCTTAATTAATGTCTAAAGTAAAATTATGAAGGGAGACAAAAGTGTCTGTTGTCGGTTTGGCTCCATGTTTAATTTACGTTATTATATTTCTAGTTCAAATTCTCATATCTTATTGATGACGTATTTATATGTCTTTTTTAGTTTTAAAGTTATAAGTTAAAGCTGATGCATGCTTTTTATATTGTCAAAAAGCTGATAATTTCGAAATTAGGCAACTAAAACAAAAACATTTCATACAAAGTAACATGCAAACCTCGATCCGCTACTAGAGGTGTCACAACCAAACTTTTCCGTTTCCGTTTGCTTTTTTATTAAAAATTATTTAAAACATGACTTTAGAAAGGCTTTCATCATTTCAATTTTTTGTTCGTAAAATTATTCCTCCAATAACAAAACTTATTAAAGTAGAATAATACAAGAACAAAATTTAGCATTGTTTTTTGTTATCAAATTAACCGCACCCAAAACAAAGCTTTATCTAGTGTTTTATAAATAGTTAGGTAAGATGCTAGTGGATTAGATATTGATCTTGTAAATAAAGACGACAATAATTGATATAAACAGATATGTAGGGTAAATATATACATTATTTGTTTTTCTAATCCAGCCAATCTATAAAATTACACGTTTTTTAGCTACTATGGGCTATGGCCATGATTAAACAATATTTAGTTTTCTACACCGGCGTCATCGACACTAGTTAAATGAAGCGGTTGGTCGAAAATCAAGACCCTCCAATTTTAGTTAACATATAAAAAGTCCTATAATCAACTGAGATTATAATATCAAGCACCAACGACTTTAGGAGCATGTGATTTCACGAACAAAAGTCGTATTACAATAATGCATAAGTATATTTAAAGCTAAAAAGCTTATGAATACATTTAATCCCTACATCTAAATAAATATTTAAAGTCCTAATATTTTTTATGACGAAAAAACAAACTTTTTCATGGCCAAAAAAATCCGTTAGGGACCCGAGACGATTAAACAAAACATTCAACCTTGGAAGCTCCAAAAACCTAATGATAAATTCAATTAGCTTTCACTTTTTGGTTGTAAATTTTAATATATACAATTACTTCATAGAAATGTGTTATCTATCTTGCATGTACCGTGAGTATTCATTCACTAAATGTGGAATAGGCTCTTTAAGAGAGTTTTCCACAAGTCACTTGTTTTATGATCTTCATAATTGAGTTTATGCATATAAACTTCTATTTTGGACAAAAATAAAGTATAATCTATCAGATTTGAAATAACCATATCTCTTTTACAATTTCTGTTTTTGGATAAGAGATTTATGCATTGACCCAAAAGAGCAAAATAAAGTCTAACAAAAGGAGATTTTGATTATATATCCTGACTTCCTTAAAATGTTAAAACACCAAAGTCGAAACTAAGAACACCATTGAACAACATAACGAACGACGTTTAAAATCTGAAAAAGCAAAAGCAGAGAAATTAGCTTAGAGAGATTTGTGGTTTATTTCCAAGCAGAGACAGTAACAAGTTCTTTCCTTTGCCAACACATGACAAGTGAAGACTGTCTTTTCTCAACGTGAAACCCTCTCACCGGATTCCTCTGCAACAAACACTCCGCCTGAGCCTCCGCCGTCTGACTCAAACTCGCCGGAGAAAACCCACATTGTGTAAACAAGCTTCTCCACGGTGGAGATCTTTCAATCCAACGGTGCCGTTTCATCAACAGCTTCTCTATCGATGGTTGAACCCAAAACCTCTCGATACTTGAATCGTCCTGATTCTGATTAGCATCCAGAGACTCAAGCAAACTAGTGTGGTACTGAAGCGCGTGGATCACGGCGTTTGGAAACGGCGCGTCGTTACGGTCACATCCTCTGTCTGAGCAAACGACGACGTTTGGTGAGATTTGTTTAAGGAAACGGAGAATTAACGGAAGGTAACCGGAGGCGACGGAGTTTACGGGAAGATTCACTGCGATTGCTTCTTTTTCCGATGAACGGAGAGAGAGTGGCCAATAAGCTGGGTTTAAAAGAAGCTCGATGCTTAGCAGCTCGATTTCAAACGGAATCTTGACTTCTCCGGCAAAAGTTTTGAGATTTTCCTCTGTAAACCGGAGCTCGAACTCGTCGGAGACTGTTGAAGGAGGAGGAGCAAAGACTGTTAATTTCAGAGATGATGCTCTGTTTCTTCTTCTTCCTCCGGGAGCGAGTTCTTGCATTAGAGATGACCATTGTCCTCCATATCCAACGTCGAAATCGATAATGTGGATCCGATCAAACCCTGATTCGTTGCAGGACTCAATAATCGATTGATTCGCTGTGAAGTTAACGAATTGGAGAAACGGCGAGGTTTCGGAGAAGGATCTGTAAGCGGCAATTCGGAGAATCAGATTCTCCGGCGTGATTAACGGTGGTGATGCGTCGTTGTGGATGAGTGAAAGGAGAGCTTCAGCGATGTGAGAAGCCGCTCTTTGAAACGGAGACTTGTGGTTACTAGTGTTGAGATGGTGATTGAGCCGCGCCAATATCCCTTGCGCGAGAACGGTGTGGTCGCCGTTATTGTTGTTTCCGGTGGTTCCGATTAGCTCCGCCGCGTTGAACAGCTGCTCGATGATGACTGACTGGTCATCGCCGGCCATTCCCGGCGACGGAACCGGAACAATAGCCACCGCCGCAGAAGAAGACGGCATTTGTTGTTGCTGGTTGTGATGAAACTGAAACGGAAACGGAAACTGATGCTGACGGCGAACCGGGTCGTGACCCGGATCCGGATCCGAGAAAGGGAAAACCGGTTGATGAAGAGATCCGGAATTAAACCGTTTCGCCGGTGGAGATAACGGAGGATTAGAGAACAAACAGTGATTCGTAGGATTGATCAAAGCTTCTGCTGGAGTCGCAATCTCTTGAAACGGGAAGCTACACAAAGGATTAGAATTTTCACTCACCGGTACAGGCCCGGAACCAGACCCGAATCCAAAGCCCGGGTCAAAAACACCGAATCCAGAACCGGGGTCCATGATAAGTCTCAAGATACTCTGTTCTTGACCAGGAGAAGAAGCAGAGAGAACACCATCAAGATCATCCAAACCCATCTGACTACATTTATTATTATTATCATCACCGGCGGTTACGGTGGTGTTGGTGACGGTGGTACCACCGCCGTGAGAGGAAGACAGCGTGGTGGTGGTAGAAGAATAAGAAGCGAGAGGACTAGGACTCCTTAAAGCGTCGAGAACAGACGTCGGCTCCGGTAAAAGACCACCGACAACATAACCAAGATCTTGTTTTCCTTCGGTTTTGTCTTGATTGGACCAGATTTTAGGAGAATCTGAATAGAAAGAAGAAGATAAACCAAACACCCCCTCCCCTTGAAACCTTTCAAAGGATAAGGGCATCGCCTCCTCAACACACAGTAACTTAAAAAAAAAAAAACCCTAGAGAGAGAGAGATCTCAGAACAGAAAGACAACAAAAGAAGAAGAGAGAGAGATGTTATGTTTCAGAGAGGTTAATGTACGGAAGAAAGAAACAAACACATGCAAAGCTCAAAACTTGTAATTGGCGCCCCAACTTTCTTTTCTTTAATTTTTCTTCTTTCTCTAAAATCACTTTTTTTTCTTCTCTGATGCTGTAGCTGTTATATGGATGCGTGCAATATATAAAAAGTGGTCTTCATCAATGCTCTCTCTCTCTCTCTAAATCTTTTGGTTTTTGTAATAAGGAATTTTCATTTTTTTTTTGTGTTTTTTTTTTTGTTTCTCCTCCTCTATGTGTGGCTTATGTCTGTAGATGTACTTATCTACATATGTACCGTGTTCTTGTGCCATCATTGTCGAGTCTCTTCGCAAATGCTGCGCGTGACTCTACTCTCTACAAACTTAATCTGTCTTACTCTTTAGATTGTAGCCGTAAGCTTTCAAAATCCTTGTTCTTTTTAATAGAATGTTGCTTATCATATTTGTGTACAACGAATTTAGTGATCTTGTGATGATGTGTATATAACCGGCTAATCCTCTATAACAACATTTCCGCAAAAGGTATTAACATGTTTTTGCCATTTTATTTGAATTGGTTAATTTTTTTTTTTCCTTCAAAAAGTCTAAAACAAATTTTTCCAACATACAATAATACAATAACGGAAGGAATATAAAATAAAAAGAATTCCACCCCTCGATTCAAATCTTTTCCCGTTTTCACGTACTTTATTTTCGAATACTTTTTACCAAAATAATGGAAGAA